TCTGCTGAAAGCTGCAGTTTGAAAACCACTGCTCCAAGGAATCCAAGAATTCTACCTTCAAACCTAACAGATAAGTTTGTCATGATAGGGGAATACACTTTATAACAGCTTGTTAACTTAATTTATTACCTCTAAATAGGTGGGCATATGGCATGTAGGACTCCATTTGTACTCTTTCTGCAGGCATTGGATTAGATGGTTTAAAAAGTTTCCTTCTCAGTTTACAACTCTATGGCAATCTAGAAGCATTTTTGAGCTTGCATTATTTGCACACTCTTAGGATACAGTGGCATTAGTGCTTCATCACTGGCATAAAGTTTTTTGTTCTTTTGTTTCCTATACAATGAAATTTCTTTAATTGGTTTTAATACAATATGGAAAAATATGTTGTGTTTAAGCAGAAGCAATACCAGTCATTGAATACAACCTGAGCAGCTGTTAAATTCCAGATACCTTTAAATAGCATGTTTTATATTATATACATAGTTTTAAAAATTAAGAAGTACAGACATATGTATTCTTGGTTCATATGGATATAGGCATTACTATTTGAATGGTAAATTCATAATATCAAACATTGAAATTTTATTCAATGATCTTATTTCTAAGTATTTATTCTAAGAATCATCCTTGTGCATGTAAGCATGGATTGAACATTTAGAATGGTAGTCGCTGTTTTTTTATAGCCAAAAATTGGAATCAATTTAAATGTGCATCAATAGTATATTGGTTAAGCAAATGTATGAACACCCATGTAGTGAACAGTATACAGTTTCGAAGGAACTTGGCATGCATTGTCGATGAAAGAGGGCAATGCAATGTTCACATGTACCACAAGGGGTGGTACTCTCTTATCAAACCACAGTGAGTCAACTACCAGCTCTGCCATCTACTGACTAGTGATCTTGGACAAGTTAGTCATTCTTTGTTTCATATTTTAATCTCCCACATGGGGAGTAATAATAAAGCTACAGAGTTATTGAGATGATTACATAAGATAAAATAAGCTATTCTTTTAGTGCTTGTCATATAGAAAATAGTTAACACATGTTAGCAAATCAATAATACATAAAATGATGTGTTTAGATTAAAAGAAGAGGGTTATGTATACATAAATTACAGAAAAAGTTTTGCCAGGAAATTCAAACAGCATTTAAAGTGGTTGTTTCTCTACATCTGAAATAGGAAGAAAACAATTTTTTTCATTATGTGGTTTTTGCTATTTTTTCCATGTACACTCAAATATTACTTTCATAATTTTAAAAAATCATTTAAGGAAGTAATCTCATTGATCTGATGAGGTTACCACCCAAAATACATATGGAATCCAAACAATTCAATCACAAAAATCAAATAAACTTATTTTAAAATGGACTAAGGATCTGAATAGATCTTTCTCAAAAGGAGATATAGAAGTCATCAACAGTTATAAGAAAAGTTGTTCAACATCACTAATCATTCAGGAAATTCAAATTAAAATCACAATGAAATGACACCTCACACCTTTTAGAACAATTATAACAAAGATAAAACATATCAAAAGTATTGGTGAGGATGTAGAGTAAGGGAAATACTTATACATTATTGGTGGAATGTTAATGGAGCTTCCTCAAAAAATAAAACTAGAACTGCCTTGTGGTCTAGCAATCCTACTTCTGGGTAAATATTGAAAGGAAATGAAATCAGTACTTAGAGGGTTAGCTGCATTCTGATGTTCAGTGCAGCATTATTTATGAAAACCAGCATATGGAAACAGCCTAAATGTATGAAGTGTTCATTAATGGAACACAACAGAATAGTATTCAACTTAAACACACACACACACACACACACACACACACACACACACACAAAGAAGTTATAGTATTTGAGACAACATAAGTAGACTTGAAAAACATCAAGTTAAGTGAAATCAGCCAGGCACAGAAAGACAAATGCTCACCCGTATGTAGAATTTTAAAAAGTCAACACCTATGCCAGACAGTAGAATGATAGTTGCCAGGGACTGAGGGAAAGAGGACATGAGAAGGTACTGGTCAAAGGTAAAAGATTCAGTTATGTGGGTAAATAAATTCTCAGATCAAATGTACAGTATGGTGACTGTAATAATACTGTATCATATATTTGAAATTTGCTGAGGTTGGTTGTGTTGCATCTTCATCTTAAAAGATAATTATGTAAAGTGATGGATATATTAATTAGCTTCACTGTGGTAACCATTTCAAGACATAGAATTCTATTAAAACATAAGATTCTATACCTTAAATGTATTTTTTATTTGTCAAGAATACCTGAATAAAGCTGGGAACAAATAAGCGAAGTTGAAGTCATGCGGTAGCTCAAGTTCTGTTTGACAGCAGAAATACCGCTATACGAATTCACTGATTTTGCTTTTTGATGAGTCATAGGATGACATGATAGCATTGAAAGAAATTTATTTTCATGCACGAGAACCATGTCAGTGTTAAGAACTTCATGAAAATATCTTTTATAGTGACACTCCCCTCTTCCTAGTGAATAATTTCTTAAACTTTCCACTTGATGTAATTGAAAGATTCAAGCTTAAATTGCTTTTCTTATTGGAAGCTCAAGAATGAAATGCAAACACATCCCAGGAGTGGTGCTCTGTAGAGGTTTTCTTGAGGTAGCTGAAGAGGCCTGGTGAGTCAAAAGGCTGAAATGATCTTTGCAGTGATTTTCCTATCCAGCATCAGTCAAATCCCTTGCTGCACCCTCCTTTGTTTACAGGTTCCTTCTTGCCCCTCTGAATAGCTGTCCAAAGAATGACTTGGTTAAACAAAAAAGTCTGAAGTTGATCTTCATTTGGCTTTTTTGTTGGTAGAATGCCTGGATTTAGGAAATGTACAGGTAGTTCTGTTGCAGAAAGGTTTTCTCAGGGTGTAGGTATCAGGGGAAGCCTGATTTTTACTCTTTTCATTTCACTATGCCTCCATATATAGCCCTTCTGGGGTTGGTAGAAAAGCAGACTCTCATTCTGGTCAAAGAAAAAAAATCTTATTTTGCTATATGTTTTGTGAAATCATGAGAAATTGAACAGTTTGTTCAACTTTCTAGAAAAAATTAAATCTTGTGCAACTTCTCTTCCAGTACAGTTAGATTTAGGACATTTGTTTTAACATGAAAGGATTAGAATTTATTATTAAGGACTTAAAAAATTTCTTTTACTGTTATTTTATCACTGAGGATTCTTTTTTTTTCTTATTTTTTTAAAGTAGCAGAATGTGGGGGACAGATTTGTTCTTATTATTTTCTATTGTATGGTTACAATAGCTTTTGAGAATAATTAATAATCAAGTGAGATAATTTTTCAATGCCACTAAATCTAGCTTTTCTTCTTTCTTCTACACCCCCATTAAAAAATGTTATCCATTTATTCTTAAAGTGTTACCAAGCATGAAAACTTGGTGCTGTTAGAACCCCCGTACTTCCAGGTTCATTTGGACCTTCAATGTGCCTGATGTTTTTCTTAGCTAGCCTTGATGTATTTCTCCAAATGCTTCCACCAGGGAATAATTTCACATGCACACCACTTTCTACATCATCATGCACCCCTGCTCTCCCCCAGTTTTCATCAGAGGAGCTCACCTACTATCTGAAAGCAGAGACTTCCTGATTTGTTTTTTTTTTTTTTTCTTTTATTATTCATATGTGCATACAAGGCTTGGTTCATTTCTCCCCCCTGCCCCCACCCCCTCCCTTACCACCCACTCCACCCCCTCCCGCCCCCCCCTCAATACCCAGCAGAAACTATTTTCCCCTTATCTCTAATTTTGTTGTAGAGACAGTATAAGCATTAATAGGAAGGAACAAGGGGTTTTGCTGGTTGAGATAAGGATAGCTATACAGGGCATTGACTCACATTGATTTCCTGTGCGTGGGTGTTACCTTCTAGGTTAATTCTTTTTGATCTAACCTTTTCTCTAGTACCTGTTCCCCTTTTCCTATTGGCCTCAGTTGCTTTTAAGGTATCTGCTTTAGTTTCTCTGCATTAAGGGCAACAAATGCTAGCCAGTTTTTTAGGTGTCTTACCTATCCTCACCCCTCCCTTGTGTGCTCTCGCGTTTATCATGTGCTCATAGTCCAATCAGAGACTTCCTGATTTGAATTCTCTTGATATACTGTTTTCCCTTTCTCCAACTCTAAAAACTGGGCTGCTTCTTTCTCTCTTATTTCCTTCAAGTTTCAGAACAAGCCTCTTTCTTCCTGTTTAAAACGAATCCCTCTGCTTTTCTTTTTATTTTTGATAACATATGATTATTTTTTATTTAAATTAAAATTATAATAGGTTTTCTTTAAATATGGATTGCCTATGTGACGAATCAATTACTTCACAAAGAATAGGATATTTCCTATAAAAATCTAAGTACTTTGATACCTAAAATTTTAAATCTTGATAATGTGTAACCATATTTACCTGAATGATTGATATGAGCTATTCAAAGTAAAGTATTAGTGGAGCTTAGTGAAAATATAAAGAAAAAATATGTTGTCTAACTTTTATTTTTATATTCCATAGTTCATCATAATTTTTAGTGCATAAAGATTTTGCAATATGTTGAAAAATTCCACTTACAATATTTATACTGCCAAAATAGACATTAAATCGCCATTTCTTTGTTTGCTATTTATTTTATTTAAGTTAACATTATATTACAGGATTTTACTTTTTATCACTGCTTAAAGTTGCTCTTGTTTTTAGATGAATTTTTACATTATATATATTAGAATTCTAACAATTTATGAAGTTCAAATACATCAGCAGAGAGAATGAATGAAGCAGCTGTATTTATTTGGATCATTACCTCTTACTACTTTTAATAATTTTCCTTCTTGCTAATTATGTTCCATGATAAACCAAGATCCACTTTTAAAATACTGACTTATAATTTAATGCTTTTGTTGAAAGTGTTAAATAACGACAACATGTGTTCGAAGATCATTGTACTTTGGATATTTATCTGGTGTTTGCTTTATATCAGAGAGCCATCTTTGACTGAATTGATAAAAGACCAGGAGAAAGACCAGCAGTGGCTGACATTACACTCCAACTGGAAGAGCCTCAATGGGACCACCTTGCATGCACTGCTAGTACATGGGTAAGAACTCTTTCAGAAGAGCTGTGTGGAGTCAGATCATGGAGCAAGAGTTTATCATCAGGACATTTAATTCATTTTTAACATAAGATAATCCAAATTTGTCAGGCCAGGTGTGGTAGCTCATGCCTGTAATCCCAGCTATTTTGTAAACAGAGGTCAGGAGGATTGCAAAGTTCTAGGCCAGCCAGGGAAAAAATTTATTGAGACTCTATGTCAACCAATGGCCAGGCATGGTGGTGAGAATCTGTCATCCCAGCTATGCGGGAGGTGTAGATAGGAAGACCATGGTCCAAGGCTGTCCTGAGGCAAAGACTTGAGACTGTCCAAAAACTAGCTAAAGCAAAAAGAAAAAAAAAAAGCTGGGGGCATGTCTCTAGTGGTAGAGCATCTACCTAAAATGTGAGGCCCTTAGCTCAAACACCAGTCATACCCTGATTCCCAAAAAAAGGAAAGAAAGAAAAAAGAAAAGATACCAAATTTGTCAACATCATCAATAAAGAGCTTCAATAGCATGGCTATTGGTCTTTACATTTCAATATTGTTTGGTTTTCTTTCCTCTTTCTAGACATATATTTTTTTCCTTTAGCAAATCACATCTTTCTTTAATCCTAATTACAGAAACTATCATAATGGGGGATGGAACTTAGGTTGTAATCTTGGAGTTTTTTTATATTCTATTTGAAATAAATTCTTATATATGCCTTTTCAACAGATGCTATGTGGAACAAGTTAACAGAGGAAATTGAAGTAATAACACTAAAAACTTGGAGATTCTGAGAAAGAAATAGACACAAAATGACACTATCATCAAGTAGCCTTGAAAGTATACTTAAATTGCTTCCCTCCCAATCATGACAGCCCTTGTGTGGGTGGGCTGTAGGAAGAAAATAAGTGGAAGGAGTGAACTCTTATTAAGCTCTTACTACATTATGGGCACCTATCCAGGTAGTTTTACATACATCAACCATTTGCTCCCCCAAATAGACTTATACCATAGGTAATTAACCCATTTTTACAGTCTAAGAAAACTAAGGTTTGGAATATTTAAATAGCTCACTCAAAGCTCAGTGACCCACAGATGGTAAGTAATGGTTTCTGAATTCAAGCTAAGCTTATTTGACTCCAAAGCTTGCAATAAGTGCTAGGAAAATCACTTGTTAAAAATTCTAAAGGAGAAAACTAAAGGTGGCCCAATTCTCCTTTGAACATTTTTAGATTTTCCTCATTGACTAAAATCTGCACTTAAATTTCTGAATATTTGTCAAGTGAAGTACTTCCCTCAAATACAATGGCCTGAATCTTTTAACAGAGTGGTGTTTCTGGGAATGCCTGAAAAACATTTTCAGGTCAAATAAATAAGTAAATAACTCTAGTGTTGGTGGACCTGGTTCTAGTCCTGGCTTATTAACTAGATGTGTGATCTTATATTACTACGGTTTGCTACAAAGAGTTGGATGGATTGTCTCTGATGACTAATCCAATTTCTAAAAGCTCTAATTTTTCAATCTAACAAATAACAACTAATTACTGAGCATTTCTTCTAACCAGGTCAGTATGAGGCTCTGAGGGGATATATAAGTGGATAATAGAAAAGAGGGAATTTGATCTCAAGAAACACATGTTATGTGAGCACACTGAGGGATTAGAAGGTAATGCAAACAATTTTACATGTTGGCAAGTGTTACAAAAATGAAGGCTATCAAGGTAAAGAATAAGAGAGCAAGAAGACTTTAGATTGTGGGAAAGTAGAAAGCAAATAATATATTATATACCAATTATTACAAATGCCCCCATAAAAATTTAGGAAAAAAAACTGAAAACATATTAAGTCTACTAAAAGAAATGTGAAAATGATGTATTTTTAATGAATTGTTTTTATTTTGGGAGATTTAGGATTCTGAGGACATCACAGTATTTTTTGCAAGCCTTTAAGGTGTCTTTTTTCCTTCTTCAATTTACATTGAAAACAAATGTTTCATGTTTGGAAGAGAATTTAGTGCTTAAAATTTTAGCATACTCCAAGCTGAATTCTCTTGTGCAACCACCCTGAGAAATCCTGAAACATAGCCCATGTTCTTGCCTTCAAAGTTTAGCTGAGATTTTTAGAAATTTCTTCCTTTCCTGAGCCCGTATTTCCTACCACTTCTACCTACTGACCCTGACGATGCCATCTAGAGTTATATGAAGGAAAGTTAATCCCCCTTTCCTCCTTTCAAGTCCAGGGTACCTGCAATTTCATCTTGACAGTCTTGGTAGGATTTTTTTCCCAGTTTAAAAGTTCCGTTCCTTTGTCTGTTCCTCCATTTTTTGAAGTAATATTTTATTCCTTTCAGACTATTTCTCAACTTTTTGGAGGAACATATCCCTCTCTTATAAGCATAAAAATCTGACATGCTCTCTCTTCATCATAGACTATAAGAAGCAGCCCTGTTCCCCAACCCCTTTCCTACCTTGAGAGTCGTGGTTTAAGTCAACGTTGTCAATGGAATCATCAGCCAAGGCCATGTGGGAAACTTTGTCACAATAACTTCTTTTCCCACAAACTTGAAATTATATTAAGATGATATTTAAATAAACTACAATAAGTAAAAAAAGTATAGTCTCCTTAAGTCCCTGAGGTGATATCTGATCACATCTGAGAATTTCTGCACTAAGAGTAATTATTACTCAGAAAGTGTAACCTCCCTTAACAGTGGAACTTATGTTTTGCTTTTCCATGACAACAGTTTGAAATGGGCAGTAAAAATGTAACTTAATGTCATGCCATTTTTTGTTTCCAAATTTAGGCAGTCTTGTCTGAGCAGAAGTAAGATTTCTCTTCTGTGTAGTAAACAAGGTGAGAGAATTGGTGGCGTAACAATGGGATATGAACTTAATTTAACTGGATGGGCTGTGGGGAAAAAGATCACTTGTGTGTGACATCAAAGATAAGCATTTAGATAAATTTGGTGGCGAATCACAAACCTATGTCTTTCACTTCTTTGTAGACTGTGGGCGCCGCCCTGCTGCCCGGATGAATAAGAGGGTCCTTGGGGGTCGGACAAGCCGCCCTGGAAGGTGGCCATGGCAGTGCTCTCTGCAGAGCGAGCCCAGCGGACACGTTTGTGGCTGTGTCCTCATTGCCAGGAAGTGGGTTCTGACGGTTGCCCACTGCTTTGAGGGGTAAGCTGCACCATTTCTTTTTTGCTTTGCCTGGTTCTGATTATTTGTCACTTGGGACATATGTAACTCCATGAAGTCAATTCATGCAAAAGCCACAGCTGCTCTCTTCCCTAGGCTTTTATCTGCAGAGATTGTCTAGGCTTTTTGTCATCTCTGTACATGCTGCTCACAGACCGGCAGTGGATATGTTGTGCTTATGATTTATGCTCTCAAGAGGGAGTCCCAGGCCAGACTTAGTCTCTTTTCTAGACCTCTTGAGGATATCACCCACATATGATTTAAACACAGGTGCTTTTTGGGTGCTGTAGTGAGGTTCAGATGCATGCACAACTGGTAAGTAGTTTGGAAGCAGAGTTGAAGATATAATATTTGCATTAGTCAGCTTTCTTCAGAGAAGCAGAGCCAACTCTGCATCCAGACAGTCTGAGGCTCACAGGGTTGATATGATCATGAAGTGAGGTAGTCTATGAATGCCTTCACAACCATTACTGCAAGCAACCAGTAACCCCGATAAAGGTAAATGTTTCTTTAAATATTGCTAACAATGTACACTCTGCATTTTCCCATAGCAAATGGCATGAGTATTTTTGCATTACTAGCGCTTTTTATTTCCAGCACTCTCCATCCTTTACTTCCTCATAATACTGAAGGTAACTCCTCTTATCCTGGTGAATGTTCCTCTGTGACTGTCAATGCACTCACTTTTCACAGAGTGCCATTGTTCACTTTTACACTTTGAAATCACACCGTGTTTATTAGTTGCTTGCCTCATGTGGCAAGGTATGTGTGTCTCATGGCCTCTCTCTATGTCAATAGGCATAGTCTTAGCTTACTAGAGTCCAGATCTCTGGAGAACATTTCCATGCTTGCAATAAACTACAGGCTTTGCTTGTGTTTACCATATGGGCTTATTCTCCAGTCAATTAAAAGATAAGCAGCCTCAGAAAACAGATGGTTCATATTCCATAACACAATGGAGAGGCTATAGAGTGCATCTATAAAATTTGTAAGTTAAGTGATATTCTATAATATAGATTTATCATAAATTTTTTTGTTACTCTGCAGTTATTGGACATTTGGGTTTGTTTCAGTTTGTTATTATTTTAATACTGCAATAAACTTTCTTATATGAAGCTACTCACCTCCTGGTACTTTTGTTTCTGGAGAATGAAGACCCCAAGACATATATTTTGCTCTATTTGGGGATTGCAGAGATGGATACTTGCTTTGTTCCTCAAGGAGCTAGCTTAGTGAGCAGACTGACATTTAAACAAATCATAAGGCAACGTGATAAGTTAGTATAAAATGGGAATGTATATATGCAGTTAGTCTATTGCTCTTTTTGGAAAAGTAATATACAAAAATCAAACCAGTGACTCCTCCTGAGAACTTTTAATGTGTGAGACCCAGAATGATTGAAAGAGTCTGTGTACTATGTCAAGAAATACACTGTAGTGTTATTGCCTTGGAAGGGACCAGATGTTTCTAGATATCTTTTCCAGTTGTGGTTTGTAACCCATGAGAAGTAGGATCATACTAGCAAAAGCACATTCATCAAAGGGTGATTTCCTAAATGAATCCAACAGTTCTTTAAGGGAATAGCACTATGTGCTAGTTAATCCAAGTTCATATGCTGCTTTTGTCTTTTTCATATGTGGTATCCAAGTTGTCTCTTTCACTGAAGGATCTATGAAACTAAAAAAGAATCTTGAAATAGAGAAATATGTGTTTATAATTAAGGAAATGAATATATCAAAGGTTTTGCAGAAATTTCGTGGAACACTAAACTTAACAGTCAAGAGGAGTCTGACTGTCCATACAAAGTTAGAAATTGCCCAACTTCAAACAAGTCTTTAATTGAATGTGTGCTAACAAACCTAATTCAGTTTTACAATCTCTTGAGTGGTGCTGCAAGCATTTCAGAACTTTTAATTGTGAGGTTTATTCTCTGCTGGAGTCATCCATTGCTGTAATTAATAGGATTTGCCTCATAGCCTGATCCCATACTTTGGCAAGGCCCAGAATGACCCATCTGTAGGTCTTCTCAGTCTGTCTCTTTCAATTACACTGGTGGGAAAAAGACAATTTATTTTGTTCTTCCATGGAGAGGTATTTAAATATACCAAATGAAAATTAAAAACATGAGATACTAAGTAGACCATATGTGCCAATACCAATTCAACTTCAAATGTTCTAGGGAAGAAAGATTTGAGTTCCATGGGTAAATTAATAGACCATTTCCTTGCCTTCTTCCTCTTCTGACAGACTGAAGGATGAACTTTCTAGGCTGGCACACAACTAGTAGTTGTCAGAAGTATTGAATTCTTTTCCAGAAAACCTATGTGACAAACCATCTTCCATGTATGAGACCGTAACCCGTAACCCTGCCATCAACGTGTCTCGATTGTTACTACACCAGTTCTTCAATCCAACAGGCTATTTGGTTGCTTGCCTGAATGACTTCCTCTAATGTCAGATCGTTAGATACTCTCACCTCCTTTCTTTCCTTGGCTGACCTGGTTTCTTGGGTGCATCACTTCAATCCTTTCACCAGGATCTTCAGCTTTTCCATCCTTAGAGCTTTCTGCCAGACACACCAAACAGGCCTCCAAAATGAGTAGCACAATTTCTGATATTCATGCTCTTAAGAATGAGGAAGGACATCATCCAGGATTGCAGATTAGTGCCCTACTTGACTTTCAACATTAGTTAGATCCTTAAGATTACTTGATAATCTTTCCCACCACCTATTCTAGACAGCTCCCTCTTCTCTTTCTCCATAGAACAAAATGTTGTCCTTGCTTGCCTCCTGCCCTGATTTAACATCCTTTTAATAACTCAGAAAAGGAAACAAGATGGATAGGTGTTGTGGCTCAGGCTATAATCCTAGCTACTTCAGAGGTGGAGATCACTGGGAGGATGGTGGCTTATGGCCAGCTGGGGCAAAAAATTCACAAGACCCCATCTCAATCAATGGCTGGGCATGGTGGTATGAAGATCATGGTACAGGCTGGCCCAGGCATAAAATGAGACCCTATCTCAGAAATAATCAATGCAAAAAGGGCTGGTGGAGTGGCTCATGTGCCTTCTAGTGTCACAAGTCTCTAAGTTCAACCTCTAGTACTACCATCAAAAAAAGAAAGAAAGAAAAGGAGAGCTTTGGTCTGTCTTTTAATTACTGAGGCCATGTTGTGTCCTTGTAATGTCCTTTTTATCTTCTGTGGGCTTATGAACCATGCTAGTCATTCACAGTTTGTTTTTTCCATTTCACCTGCTTGAAGGATTTGGTCCATTCCCATTAGTAACAATGTCCACTGAAATAGAAATTCTCCAGTTCTGGATCAATACCTGCCCTAGAGTGCTGTTTTGCAGCATTGGTGGGAAGTGAAAAAAATGTGGTTTTAAAAGTCTGTAGGTGAGTCTGATCTGACTCCCTGCTTCCCACTGGTTTTCCCTCTTATGGAGATATTCCATGCTACCTTCCTTTCCCCAGTTTTTAAAAAATATGTGTGGGTCTAGGATATGGCCAGCAGTTGAAAGAAATGATGAGCCAACCCTTGGACTTTCTGGAGCTTCCAGAAACTAGGAGCTCCTCTGCCACTTTTAACTTTTTTGTTAAAAGAAAAACGTTTGACAAATCTTGCTTAGTTAAATTGAGCAAAGAATTATCATGGATTGAGCAATCCTCAGAATATGTGCATTGCACCTACACCTGAACAGGTGTTGGAGAACATTGTTGCAGAACATGATGTTACACTCAATTGCTAACTGAGTTCATGTCAAATGTATGATTATGAACCTCAAGTGAGCATCTAACACAGTGGGACTCTTTCAATGCAATTCCACAGAGAAGTCACTTTTCTCCAGTAAGGGACAGTTATGTGCCAGCTTCTGTTCTCCCTCCATCGTCTTCTACTGATCTCGCCTATATTTTATGAATAAAATAGATGCCATCATATCTTTCTCCTTGTCTTAACCCTGATTCCAAAAGACTACCTGTATATTTGACAATATCCCTTTTTTTGCCTTGAGTTATAGAGGGAGATGTGTGCCTTTTCTATTTAAGAGCTATCATATCCCATCATTTCAGACTCTACTCCTGAAATCATCATTTCAGTTTTGCATCAATGTCTCTCTGTATGCTGGAGCATTCCTTTCAGCAGCTGTGCCTTGATACCACAAACTCAAACTCCTCTCCCTTCACTCCATCTTCAACTGTTGCTCCATTTGGCTACTATTCATGGTAAGGCTCCTAAAAAAATTTTCTATGGTCATGGTCTTTTCCCACATCTCATTTTCTCTTTAGCCCTCTTTGTTTGGGCTATCATCAATGTCAGTACAGAAATGGCTCTTACCAAAGTCTCTAACAACTTTTATCTTGCCAAATCCAATGGTGAATTTTCAACTCTGTGAGACCCTGCTCAGTGTTTGATCATGGCATTCTTCTTGAAATACTTTCTTTTCATCTAGAATAACAGAAATTCTTATTGCTTTTCTCTTATTTCAGTGACCTGCCATTTTCTTTCACTCCTTCCATCTTCTCCTGTTTTAGGCCGCTGAAAGCTCTAGGACCAATTTCTGGTTTTCTTATCTGTCTTCACTCACTGATCTAATTACATAGTTACAAACAATTGTTCATATTTCAGAAAATGTGACTAAGAAGTATTGACTAAATATCATAATTGAATATCAAATATTTGTTAATGACTTTCAAACTTATATTTCTAGCCCATCCTAGAGTTTCCCCCAGTCACCATAACAAAAAACTTCAAATGTATTTATTTTACTACTTAGCTGAGATGGCCATTAAAATATGTAATAACCATCCTACTGTATTTACATGGACAAAATAAAACTATTGATTCCTTTTTTCTGTCATTGATCAATAATTGCATGTTTCACAACTTCTCCATCTCAGTAAATATTTACTAACTGACTAATTAGCCTCTTCTTGGTGTTTCTTAGTAATTACACTTCTAGTTTTCAGCAGCCAGGGCTAAAGTATTCTGGAACTAGGAAAGCTAACTCCTTCCATGTTGTGGATCGTTCATTGGTTCAGCATTTCAATGTATTGAGAACCTGTATTTTTAAAGCATATCTATAGTTTAAAATTACATAGCAGATGAATCTTCTAGATATTCTCTGAAGATCACTCTGTTTGAATGGAGAAATGGGAAGCAAAGAGAGATTTAAGTAATCCTGCTTTGTTTTAGTTATCTATTAAGATTAAATTATCTACCATGGGAAGGAATTTTCCTCTTTTCTTTTTTTACATTATTTCATTGAGAAGCCATTTTAATTTTCCCTACTTTTTCTCCTTCTTGAACAAACTCCTGCTCATTTTATGGGTAAGACTTTCTGACAATTGCTATGGTTTCATGCCAGTCTTTGTGATAGACTTTCCAATTTCACTGCTCTGGGATATGTACATAGTCCCATTTGTTGTTTAGATAATTCTTCATTTTCTTTACTTATGCAATCATTTGTGATAGTGGCATAGAAATTTGGAACTTAATGTTCCCATTTCTTTTAAGCAGTACTTACTTTAAGAGTCTATGGACACATCATCACACCTATCTTCTTTTTTAAAACATTCTAAAATCTGATTCTCAAAAGCCTAGGATGTATATTTGACTAGGACCTTCTTGTGCTTTTTCTGGAGCTTGGCATAACAGAATTGTCCACTTTCTGTAACTTTGTCACTGATGGCTAGTTCCCCATCACACCTGGGTGATATGTTCATCAAAAAGAACATCCTCTCCTGCCATCTGCTATTGTATCACTCACCAATGAGTCTCTGTTCATCCCACAAGGCTTCCCTTCTAGGGCCAGCACCTAGCTCCTTAGCTGATACCTGTGAATCCTACCCATTGTTTCAGAAAAGTTTAGTGGAAAAGGTGTGGTCTAGGGCCAGCATTCTGATCCGATGCCATCACTATCTCTTGACTTAAAATAAGTCAAGACCAGTGAATCACTTCTCTAAAGTGGAATAAAGATCCTATATACATTTCACAGTTAATGTGGGGATCACTTGAAATAATGTGTGTAGAAATATTTGAAAAACTATAGTGATCATGTCCTAGAATCTAGGATGCTGATTTAGTTTTCTTATTGCATATATTTTAAAACTTTTATCCCATGTTTAAAAACTGAATATTTTGCATAAACCTGGAACTTTGTCTTTCACTGTACAACTGGAAGGTCAGGCTGTACTGGGCATTTCAATATAACAGCAATTAGCTGGAGTTGAGAGGCTGAAGGCTCTCAGAATGGGCAGGGCTTATGGTCAGACACAATCTCTTTTTACTGATTTATACCTAGCTCCTTCATGCATTTACCCTTCTTAAACCTATCTATTTTCTCTGCTACAGATAATTCTTTTAAAATACCAAGAACAGAGCACAATATTAAGTGAAAGTTTCCTAAGATTTGTAGAACAACAATGATGCCATAGTGTGATGTTTCTTTACTAAGTATGACTATGGTAACCTTCAAACTATCTCCAAATGACTATTTAGCTGTTCTCTTTCTGGAGTAAATCTTATTATGTAGGCTGATTTCTATCACAAGTGTTAATTATAAATATTAATTTTCCATTATTAAAAAGACTATAAGTTATCCAAAGCAAAACCAGAAAGGGTGAAAGAAGGAAAATTTTGTGTTACTAAGAAAAGATAAAGATAGAAAATCTGTAAATTTGGCTAACTGGGGCTGGGGATGTAGTTCAGTTGTAGAGGATTTGTCTAGTATGTGCAAGGCCCTGGATTTCATCCTAGCACCACAAAAAATAAAAATAAATAAATTTGAATTAAGTGAAAAAGTGACATTTTCATGTCTAAGCTAGAGTTGAGAGTAGAAAATTACAAGCCAAAGTGAGAGCTATTGCATCTAGAAATATAACTATTCTGTACAAATTCCTCAGGATGCCATAGTGCATCTGAGATATATAAGTAGCTATGTTTTCTCTATAGTGTTGATAATCAGAGAATTGTTAGGTTGGCATTATACTGTCTCAATGTTATCTATAAAATATATTCATTTAAAAGCAATAGCATAAACATGAAGCAAATTACACCTTAAGTGTGAATTTCACTGAATGAAATATATCTGGAGCAAGAATGAAAGGACAAAAATGTCTATTAACATCTGCTTTAACTTGTTTCATTGTGGTTTGTATGTTTTCACCTGGCTGCACCTGAGCCAGGTGTACTCTCAGAGCACGAGAATGTTGGTACAAATAAGTTCTAGTTCTCCTTGCTGCTGATGCTTTGAGACCCACAGTCAAATGGGAAATAGTCCCCTTTATGCTGTGGATTTTCAGCTCATATAATTCCCTTTTTATTTGTAACCTAGTTTCCCTGTTTTGTTTTTTATTGAAATAACCTTATGATCATCTCCTGTTCCTATGTGTTTCTTTACTGGGTACTTTGAACTGATTGATATTAAAAACTTTTTGATATCTATGAAGTTATTTTTCTTTAAGGATTCTATAGAGGGCATTTTTGCACAGTATGACTTATGCATTTAACAATACTAAAATCAGTTTGGGTGTCAATATTGGTACCTCCTTTCTAATCCTCCCCAAATCGCAGCCTTTTAGATATTTGCTTTGCTGAGGGTGACTTAAGGTATCCCAAGGAAAGGAGAGCCCTTAAAATACTGATTCCCAGGTTCCCACCAAGAGCTTCTATTTCACTGGATATGTGGGCAATGTCCAAAGGATCAGAATTTTTAAATCCCTTCAGATAATTCCATGTTCAACCTGGGAAACAAAATGATCTAAATAAGCAAATCTACCTACTTTAGTTGATTTGATCACTAGTTCCTAAAGGAGAGTGGTAGAGTCTTAGGCTCAAAGTTCCATAGCATAAGAACATATCCACAGTAAAGCTCTATCCCCCTCCCCAACACAATGGTCCAACAAATATTCATGTCTTTGATCATACCCATTTTGGAAAAGGAGGAGGGCATGAAGGGAGTGATTAAAAATAGACCTATACTCCTGGAGTCTACCACTAATAAATATTTTAAAAAACTTAAACTGAACCATCATTAAACAAATACTTTTTGAGAACCAAGTGTATCCCTGGTGTTAGACCCTGTGAATATAGAAGTCAACAAGACCAATAGAGTTCCTGCTGTAACAGAGAAAACATTCTTGGTGGCAAACACTGAATATTAAATGTATCAATGTCATTGATATTAATGAATACATGAGAAGAAAATTAAAGTAGGATCAAGAGTGGAGAGAGTTATGGGGCTAGAGTAAGGGTTAGACAGGGAAAATAGTGCTGTGGAAATGGTGTTTGAGTTGAGACAAGGTTGAAGAAAAAGAGTAGGTGGCAGCCATGTGAGAGCTGAGGGAACAGCAAAAAAGGAATTCTTGAGTTGGGGATGCCCTTAATATGTCCAAAAATAGAAAGAAAATTCTTAGGGTTGAAATGCAGCACAATACATAGGACTTCAGAGGCCAAGAATAAAAGTCTAGAATTCATCTCAAGTGTGCTATAATGTCCTTGGATAATTGTGAGCAGGAGATAATCTTGATCTAATTGTACTTTTAAAAGATCACTCTGACCACTGTGAGGAAAATTAGTTATAAGGGTCAAGGTTGGAAGAAGGGCCAATATTTGAGAGGCCATTGCAGTCGTCCAAGTGTGTGAGAGTAGCTTATATTAAGATGGCAACAAGAGAAGTAGAAACAGCAAGATGCAGGATATATTTGAAAGAAGTGAGGAAGACTTTCTGATCAATACTGGGTGAAAGGGAAGATTCAGCTGGTAATGTAGTTGGAAGCTTAAATTACTGTAAAATGAATTTTGAATGCTTAAACGTTGCCAGATACATGGTAAGCACTCAAGAAATCTTGGCTATCATTAAACATCTATGTGAGTATGTTGAGTAGACAATTGAGCATTCAAGTCTGTAGCTCAGGGCAGAGGATGGAGCTGGTGCTAAACATTTTGGAGTCATCAGGGTATGGGTGGTATTTAAAACCACTGGACCAGGTGAAATCATGGAGAGAGCATAGAATGCAAAGAGAATGTTGAGGATGGAATTCCAAGCGCTTCAACATTGACACTGAGCACTGGGGAGAAAGACCCAGAAGAGGAGACTGAGAGAGGGGGGCCCATAATATTGAAGAAAATTTTGGAGCATGGCAAGACCTTAATCAAAGTGAACAAAGCATTTTAAGGTGAGAATTAACTAAAATGTTGCTGATTCGTGTTCAAAAAATGGAGTCTAAGGGTGATCTTTTTAAACCTTTGCCTTGAAATTTGTGGACAGCTGCCCTGAAAATTTGGTATTTCTCTGAGTCACTTGCTCTTTCTTGGAGGGATCTTTTAGTTTTGGCTTTTCCTTTCCTTTTTTCACTTTTCCTCTTGCTCCTATCTCTTCTTCATGACTTTTTAGTATCTTTATTTTTCAATGAAACAAGTAAGTACTGTAAATTCCTTTAAAACTGAACAAATTATATTTTCAAGAACACCCATATTTAAGAAGCCTGAACTTTGCTTTTCACAATAACTAGCTATTCATCATTCAGGCCATTAAATACATATTTATGTGAACACAATGGGAGGCAGGAATGGAAATAGCCATTATTACACACATAAAATGTTTCTGAAGGCACAAATGAAAGTGAAAAGATGATCAGAATCGAATATGCCATTTGCTCTTGAATTATTATTTTAGAAGAGAGAATGCTGCTGTCTGGAAAGTGGTACTTGGCATCAACAACCTGGACCATCCATCGGTGTTCATGCAGACACGCTTTGTGAAGACCATCATCCTGCACCCCCGCTATAGCCGGGCAGTGGTGGACTATGACATCAGCATAGTGGAGCTGAGTGAACACATCAATGAGACAAGCTATGTCAGACCTGTCTGCTTACCCAGCCCGGAGGAGTCTCTAGAACCAGATACATACTGTTATATCACAGGCTGGGGACACATGGGAAATAAAAGTAAGTCAGAGTCATTAGTAGTTCTTGCCTTTCAGCTTGTAACACAAAAACATTGTGTTTCCTCCTAGCCTTTGGTCATAATTTCCTATTTTCACTTGTAAAAATGTAGCCACACATGGTAAAAACTTGGTTTAAGTGTTGCATTCTTCCTTTCATGCCAGTTGTAGACAAGAATAACCTATCATAGCACTGAAGCCTGCCAGCCTAAAATGCAACCTCAGAAATCCTCCATACTTCAGACTCTTTCTCCAGGGAGCCACTAGCAATGATTTGGCACTGCTGTGCAAGATGAGACCAGTCAGTCATCCCTACTTTGGACTGACACAATGATTTGGGCTGTCACTAGGCAGAGTCACTAGGGACTCTATGGAGTGGTTAGGTTATTTCACTTCTTCAGTTAAGTTTCCTGGTCACATTTCCAATTCTGTGTTATGTTTTGGTCTTATCGACATCTTACCACCTGTAAGTCCTTCTAGAAAGAAAATTGATTTAATATTTTCCTATTTAAGTTGGTGAAAATAATTTGGCCCTATAGATAATTTAAACATATAAAACATGTAGAAATTAAAATTTTGCACTGCTTACTCTCACCCCACCCCCAGGGACTCTCTCATTCTGTTTGACCTATTTAAAATTTAGAGTAAGAATTGAGTCTATGTGACATTTCGTTTACCTGTAGGTGCTGGCCATTCTGGCTACAGCAAGTCCAGTGCTATGGGTCTCAAGAATGATAATATGTATTGGCATCTGGTAGGAACTGCCAATTTAAAGAAACTTTTTTTCTTGAAACTTAATCAGGTACACTTTAAGCTAAATTTTGTTTTCTAAATGATGGAAAGTCAGTATATAAAAATTAATGACTTTTTCAGAGGAAGTTCACATATCAGCATTTTGGAGGTAGTGCTAGACTTAAGATGCTACCATTCCTCATATCTTGGTTCTTAGAAGCTATTATTAGTATGCAATATAAGAGCACAATATACTTTTTGTTGTCTCTACTTATGTAAGTCTCACAATAGCCATTTTGAGCCATATCAAATAGTATAACATTATACGTGCCACAGCGTGAGGGTCTGAATTTATTCAGGCAGATGTGATTGACCGTAACTGTACCACTTTCTAATTTACTACAAAAGAAAAAAATATAATATGTGGGAAGCTGAGATTGTGAGGATTGTGGTTTGTGGCCAGCCTGGGCAAAAAGCTATCATGACCCCATCTCAACAGACAAGCTGGGCATGGAGTCATAATGCCCCACAACTGATGGGGTGTGTGTAGGGGGGTGAGTAGGTAGGAAATTATGGTCCAGGTCAGCCCTGGATGAAAAAAAGTGAGACCCTAGCTGAAAAATAACTAAAGCAGGAAAAGGGCTAGTGGCATGGCTCAAGAGATAAAGCACTTGCCAAGCAAATAATGAGGCTTTGAGTTCAAACCTTAATACTGTCGAAAAAGAAAGAAAAAAAGAGCAATGGTCTAACTTACAAGATAGTTAAAAAGATTAAAAACAATGAGGCCAAGAAAATGCTTGATGTAGGTGCCTGGCCTACTACTAATACCCAATTAGATATTATTCTCATATCATGTTTTTGACAACTCATAAAACATTCACTGTCTGCTTCATATTGATTTCTTTTCCGCAAATGACTATTTCTTCCAATAAAGTACGCTGTACAAATACACCATTTCCCTGTCTCCCACAGCCACAGCCGGACATGGTGGCTCACACCTGTAGTCATTCCCAGCTACTTGGGAGATGGAGATAGTAGGATTGTGGTTCAAGGTCAGTCCAGGCAAAAAGTTATAGAGACTCTATCTCGAGAAATAAGCTGAGCATGAGGGTGTATGCCTGTGATTCCATGTATGTGGGAGGTATATGTAGAAGGATCACAACCCCAGGCCACTGGGCAAAAAACAAGACTCTCTCTGAAAAAACAACTATAGCAAAAGGGGCTGGAAGTATAGCTCAAATGGTAGAGTGCCTCCCTAGTAAGCATGTGGCCCTGAGTTCAATCCCCAGTTCCATCACAAAGGGATAATGCATCCAATTTTGTAGAATGCCCAAATAGCAAAATATTCATGATGCTTTAAGAAGTTCATTGTTACTCAGCAAGAACTTACAGGCAAGACAGAATTCACAGACACTGTCAACTCTAAGGGACCGTTTTGTCCTTTTGACATCTCTCTGTCATATTCTCTAGGATTAAAACTCTTACATCAAATAATTGCCACCTGAGCACATGGTCAGATGTATTCTTTTCACCGAGAACAGGGCAGCCTTTCCCTGTTAGATTTAACAGGTGTTCTATACTTCTGCAGGGCAGGACTTGTGCTGAGCTGGCAGTCTTCTGGGTAAAGCTTTGTTTGAGCCCCTTTTCACTGTGATAGCTGTTGTTTTTGACATAGCATCTGGCAAGAACAGAAAAGCACAAGGCACCCATCTGTGCCTCAGTTTCCTAATTAGCAAAATTAAGGAATTTCATCGGATGAGTGCTCTGAGTATTTCTAATTAAACAATTTTGACTTCAATGCTGGAGGTGTGGCTCAAGCAATAGAGTGCCCGCCTGGCAAGTGTGTAGCTCTGAGTTCAAACCCCAGTACCACAAAACAAATATCCACAAACCCCAAAATATCTGATTCCAAGCAAGTCTTGTCTTTGTAATGACATTTCAAGTAAGGAATATTGTTCTCTTGATGTAAAAATGTTTATCTAATACTGTTCATTTCATATTGGCTAGCCTGCTTTTGAGTTATCTTACGATCCTATATGTTTGCATTTCGTCACTTTTCAAATCTAGTGCCTTTTAAACTGCAAGAGGGAGAGGTCCGCATTATCTCTCTGGAACAGTGCCAGTCCTACTTTGACATGAAGACCATCACCACCCGGATGGTATGTGCTGGCTACGAGTCTGGCACTGTTGATTCATGCATGGTAAGTTGCTTTCAAATTATCCAGGAGATGTGGATCAGTAATAACTTCAGTGGGCCGCTGTCAACTCATTAGTATTCATGATGGTTCCTTTGGGAACCATCTATAGCCAAATGCTTAATTACTCTCAGTGAATTTTCCTTAATCCACTACCCAGTGCTCCCTGTCTCCATTCCCTTTGGTCAGGTTGCCATCAGGTTTCTCATCTGCTGAATGGGAGTCTCCCCTCTGATCAGCAATAGGAGGAAAACAATTGTTTCAGTCCATGTCATTTGTTCATTTTGATGGCTAGGACAAGCAAGATTTTAAGAAGAGCAAATGGTGATCATAGCTTCACCTGGCAGTTCAGGGGTCAAGGGGACACCAGAGGACATTGCTAGCCATTAGTGTGATAGCATTAGGGCATACACCAACACCCCAACTTTCAGGGTGTGTGACAAGAACTGTCTCAAGAGTAATCACATAGAATTGTGTAGGCTCTTGTGATCCTCATTTGATTGCCGTCATGTCCTCAAATGTCCATGACCCCAACCTGAAATACTCAGAATTTCTGGACATAATGCTATGCAGAGCAAGCCAATCTAGCAGAAGCATTTTTGTATTTGCTTAAACACTCACTGTATCAAACTGGACTGGTTCTCAGGGCTCCCACAGAGAAGCTCAGAACAGAGTAGAGAAGACAGCTGGCACACTACAGGGCTGAGAAACACCTTCATTTTGCTGCTTTGAAATAAACAGATTGCTCCCCAGATTTTAACACTGAACAGGAGTTATAGCAATGCTGTTATCACTCACTCACCATAATTAAATGGCATTTTTAATGGTTAGGTTAGAATGGAAAGTCTAAGGACTGGAAACAGCTCTCTAAGGACAGTTGCCATGGGATAAAAGGAGGAGAAGTTTCCTTCCTTTCTGCCACATGGTCACAAGTCGTCTACCTGAGGTAGGAAGTGGTAGAGAAGTCCCTTCCTTCTGGAAAAGAGGCCCAGATTTGATTTCCCAAGCCAAAGAATAAAGATATTTTAAGGAGCAGCATGATGCCTATTGGAGCACAGAATTTGCCACCTGAGATAAATGGGTTGGATCCCATCTCTGCCAGTTACTGCACTTATTTTCAGCAAATTAGGTGATCTAACCTCTCAAGACAGTTTTCCCATGAGTAAAATGGGGTGTTTTGTGGATTAACTGACATCCAAATGTGATGCCTGGCAAACACTTAGAATGTTAATACATAGTAACTTTGTTAATATTAGCTAGCATCCATCTGTTTAGCACTTTTTGTGTTCTCTTCAGAATGCTTTCTGATAACTCACTTAATCCTCACAATCACCCTAATTAGCGGTATCTTTGTTTTCCCTAACAGATCAAGAAAGCAAGAGAGCAGAAAGGTTAAGTCATTTGCTCCAGATCACTACGCATAAGGTAGTAAAGTGAGGCTATGAACCCAGGCCATCTGGCTTCAGGGCTCAAGTGTTGACCACTGTGGTATCTTAGTAGCAAAGATTAATGCACATACATCTCTCTTTTTTTCCAATGTGATTTGAAGGTCTACCAAGAATTAGCACCTCTTGGGCACATGTTCAATGTCATTTCTTGGAAATAGGTAGAGGAGGGGAAAGGAGGCCCAAACATAGGCCCAGGCATATTCACACCATGGTGGAGAATAGAACTAGGTCCTGCCAATTTCTTCAATGCTGTGGGTCTGTTAAATGCATACCAGATGCTCTCTACCATATCCCAGACAGAAAACAAAATAAAAACAAAACACAAAACAAATAAAAGCTACTTTTTACTATATCTGGAGCAAATTTGTACACCAAAGCCTCTGTTAGAGGACATACATTTTCTTTCTTGAGTGCATCAATGGAACTCACTAGAAGCTGTAGTCCCTCTGTGGGGGTCTATATATCATGTGGATCAGTACTGAAGATTGGCCTACAGCTCAATCTTATGGAAAGGGAAAGAGGATCAAAATGACCACTGCTGCTGTTAGCTGTGTTCTCCCTTAAAATTTGAATTGGTAGTTCTTGCCCTGTCTTTCCCACCTAAAGGAAAAACACCTGACTCAGTAACCCAGCCCCAAACCCACATCTCAGGAAGTTTTTTCCCTCTCCACCTGGCAGTAATCATACAGTTTTCTGAAGTCCTCTTCATAGTCCTTAGATTTTGCTCTCCTGTAAAATTATTCTTATGACCTAAGCAGACTTTTGGCTGTTCTGGGTCAAATGTCATGCCTTCTTCATCGAAGTAGAGAGGAGCATAGAGCCTTGTATGAGCAGATGCTGAAAAATTATTTGGCTGACTTTATGATCTGAAAGTGAAGAGATGCCCATATCCAGATATGTCTCATTTTAATCTCTCTCTGGCATAATAAATAGCTCTCCCTTAATAACTGAGCATTTTAGCATTTATTTTATATAAGGAGGAAGAAAATATTAAGAAATATGTCTAATAAAAGTGTTTCTAGGTAATTTTGCCTTAAAAAATTCAAGTAGGCTTAGGACACTGGAAAGTTAGGGATGTAAAGATTACCTTTCCACAAAGCACACAATGCAATAAAAAATTCAATTTTGCTTTCATAGTAATAATATTCACTAACATTCCCAAGAAGACAAAAGTCTGGATAGGTGTCCTGTTACCAGACTCCTCAGGTTCCAATCCTGGATGGACCAGTGATTAACTTAACTTGTGCTGCAGCTTCATTATCTCAAAAATGAACATGACAATAATAAATATCAATTCTTAGCTATTTTGTAAAGATCAAATGAACTAATAATGGAAAGTGTTTAGAACATCAATAAACATCATTCTTTTTATTCTCCAACACTACCATGTAGGAAGACCATAGATATGCTTCCAATATTGAAAGTCTTATTCCTTCCATAGTGAATTTACACACTTCTGAACTGGTTATGGAATCTACCCATTTCTTTTGTGGCAATACAGAATGAATCTCTTACTGACTTTGATCTTTCCAGACCAGCAAATATAAATGTCTGTAATGCCACAGTGTTTTACCATCATCTATATATTTGGGCAAAAGAATTGACTAAAATGCAACTGGAATACCTAAACTTAATAGTCAAGAAAAAAAAATCTGTTCATATGAAATAAAATATAGGCTCTAAATCAATGAAATACCCCACTGTGATTCACACATGTCTTCTATTCAAACATGCCAAATGAAAAAAGTCTTAAGAACTACCCAGAAGTCAAGTTAGGAACCCCAAAACGTGTTGTTATAATAATGCATTCATTCACATAGCAAGAATCTTGAAATTCAGAGATATTGTTGAATGCTCTCTTTTGAGTACTTTCTACAGTTACAAGATAACTCAAACTTAAAGAATGATTATGAGATAACCAGCTCTGATACATCATAAAATTTTTAAAAAATTGTGATATATTTTGGTAAGTGCAGTAAATGACTGTAAAATGTCTTCTGATTTCATGGAAAGAACAAAAATCTCTTCCAAAGCTACCCCTCTTCTTTTTTTTTTTTAATTTTATTATTCATATGTGCATACAAGGCTTGGGTCATTTCTCCCCCCTGCCCCCACCCCCTCCCTTACCACCCACTCCACCCCCTCCCTCTCCCCCCTACCCCCTCAATACCCAGCAGAAACTATTTTGCCCTTATTTCTAATTTTGTTGTAGAGAGAGTATAAGCAATCATAGGAAGGAACAAGGGTTTTTGCTGGTTGAGATAAGGATAGCTATACAGGGCATTGACTCACATTGATTTCCTGTGCGTGGGTGTTACCTTCTAGGTTAATTCTTTTTGATCTAACCTTTTCTCTAGTTCCTGTTCCCCTTTTCCTATTGGCCTCAGTTGCTTTTAAGGTATCTGCTTTAGTTTCTCTGCGTTAAGGGCAACAAATGCTAGCTAGTTTTTTAGGTGTCTTGCCTATCCTCACCCCTCCCTTGTGTGCTCTCGCTTTTATCATGTGCTCAAAGTCCAATCCCATTGTTGTGTTTGCCCTTGATCTAATGTCCGCATATGAGGGAGAACATACGATTTTTGGTCTTTTGAGCCAGGCTAACCTCACTCAGAATGATGTTCTCCAGTTCCATCCATTTACCAGCGAATGATAACATTTCGTTCTTCTTCATGGCTGCATAAAATTCCATTGTGTATAGATACCACATGTTCTTGATCCATTCGTCAGTGCTGGGGCATGCTACCCGCCTTCTTTTAAAGATTAGAATTTATAATGTTCATTTGAAGCTTCCACTTATATAGTGGAAAGCAGACTCCCTCACAGGTTAACAATGGAAAGCTTTTTAAAAAAAAAATGTTCAGAAGTTGTTTAAGCAGGGTTGACTTTATTGTACTTTCAGGATGACATGAACGCTACTAGGGCTCTGAAATCCCATGACTAACATCCACTACTATTCATTACAGGGTGACAGCGGTGGGCCTCTTGTTTGTGAGCAGCCTGGAGGACAGTGGACATTGTTTGGGTTAACTTCATGGGGCTCTGTCTGCTTCTCCAAAGTCCTAGGGCCTGGAGTGTATAGCAATGTGTCATACTTCGTCAAATGGATTGAAAGACAAATATATACTCAAACCTTTCTCCAAAAGTAATCCCAATGATGATCAGAGATTACTGCCAGCAACACTCAAAGAGAATGGCTCCCTTGACTGGGGAGAGCTTGCTGCAGAGTTGTACAGAGGTACTTTCCATGGACAGGATGTTCAAGACGGACTGCAAATTTTCATGTTTGTTGTAAACCTGTTTATTTAGCTTTCTTTCAACTTTATTTTTCTTTAACTTCAAATTTAATGAAAGGCTTTTAAAGAAACAAAATGAAGCAGGTTTGTTCTTTTGCCAAACTCACCTTGACTATAGCATGAACTTATCAACTCTACAGACAGTTAAAATAATAGAGGCCCTAGGGTAAGAGGCTATAGAAAGCTCTCTTTTACAAAAAAAAAAAAAAGACCCTGAGACCCAGGTTGGCTAATCTCCTCCAGTTTCAGCTCAAGCATGCTTAGGGGCAGTTTCAACATTATCATAGGAGACTGGCTTTTGATTTATTCAAATTGAGATAATTTACATGTTTAAATTATTTACTATTACTCTTTTTAGGTTTTCATAATTCTGAGAACTTACAAAAGACAAAAGTAAAAGACCAATAGCATCTGTTTAGGTAACTGAAATCACAAGACATAGTGAATGTGAAATTTTCTAGACATGAAGACTAACTCTTAGTATTATTGTTCTATCCAGTCTGGATTTAAATCAAGTTTGTAATTTTATAGAAAAGTCTCCATAGAGCTTTTCTCATTGCTGGGGCTTTTCCAGTGTATGTCAGTTGGCTAACTGAGATTTCAACAACTAGGTCATTACTCATAGAAATTTTCCTTTAGTCTGTGTGAAAATAAAGTGCTGATTAAACTTTACCAAAGGAGAACCAGTTCTAGATTGGAGAGGTGAAGTTTTAAAAGAAAGACAATTAAAAGGTACCCCACCCTCCATTAAATATAAAAATTGAGCATTCCTGTGTTCATACCAATAAAGTCACAGAAGTATATTTCAAAGCACAATAAAACATTGCACGGAGTAAAACATTTTGTAATTTTCCCCTAATAATGTCTAACGTCTGGTGTTGCCATTTCTTCTCATTGATAATTAAAGCAAAATTTTAAAGATGTTTTTAAACAGTAGGCTAATTTATGCAAATCAATTTCTGAAACAATTAGTGGTTAAAAGTATTTTTCTCCACTAAAAAGCTCCAAAACACAATTATTCACATCCTCCTAATTTAATTAGTTAGACATAAATTTTGCAACATTCAAATGCCTTTTTTGAACAAGTAGGGTTCGCTACTAACCTTCACCAGCAACCTGGACTGCTTCAGCATTCCGAATAGACTAGCTGCAATTTTATATGTGTAGGATTTTTGGACTCTTTTCTGTGTGTTAACATATTTAAAATTAAAAAAATGGTCTCCACACTTACTTTCAGTTTTGTTCATTTCTTGTAATTTGTTACAAACTCTAGAGTGTGAAATCCAGCAACTGAATTGTGGTCACAATTGTGTGGAAGTTCAAGAATAGTTTTGTTATAGTTTTAGCCATATACTTAATGTAACAACTTTTAGCCTTGCTCAATTTATGTTCAGTAAAATGTACATATTGTACTTATTTTAAATAATTCTGAATACAAATAAAATGGTATCTTTTTTTGGATGAATATGGAACATAGACAGCAAGTCCCAGGAAATTATTTATCCCTCTATAATAGTATGGTGGTACCCAGTTTCCATCAACCAAAATTTACCTGTCTTATATTTCACTCTCACAGGTGCCTGCTCTTTTAGACAGCCAATAGCTCCTTTATTGGTCTAAAATTAGAGGTTGCTAATTGTCTCAATCACTCATTGAATGTCTCAGCCCTGCTACGGGCTCATGGATCTTTAATGTCTAGAGTATATTTTGGGAGTTCAATTCTTTTATAAACCTTTTGTAATCAAATTATATACTAAAGTATATACTATTAATTGATTTTCTCCTGGATACTAGGAACAATGATGCTATGCTTCACAATTTGGTGATATATCTTTAATACCAAAATGTAACTGATCACACCAGCTTGGGTAACTTCGTGTGAAAAGTGTTACTTTCTTGTAAATTTGACCCTTTAAAAACTTAATGCAGATCTCAAATCTCTTCAATTTAGAGGCCACACATGTTTCAGAATTCAGAATTTTCTAAATAGAAAAATATGTAGTTTAGCATCCAATAATTAAATACATTAACATTTTATAGCAAAATATATGACTAATTACACAAGTAAAGTATTTTAAATAGCTTTATGAAAAAATTTTCAGTTTTCAGAGACTTGGGGATTTTGGAATTATAGACACAAGATTATAGCCTCATTACATGGACACTCAGTATTTTCTTTTAGTCATCTGTACAGATAATTCACATCTTAGAAAATGACATTTTTCTTATCTTTTTACCTCATTGTTTTGCTCTTAGATTTTAATCTTTTATTTACAAGTGGTTATATTACCATTTTTTTAATTTATCAGGACATGATGATCTCAGGGACTGAACGTCAGCTGCTGTGAGTACAACAAATATATCACAGGTTTTCCACCCAAGAAAGGACCAAAATAATATTCTGGCAAAAGGTGTGCTTTGAGACTTTCCTCCTAACTTCTGGTACCAATTATAGCTAGATTTAGTGTTTATAGGAGTGATGACAATTTTTCGGTGCACATTATTTATTAAAAAGTTTATTTATTTAAAAAAACATTGTATAGGAAGCAGAAAGCAAATTCCAATAGCCATGTAGAATTTTGAAAGTTCTAGAAATTAGTGTATATGAAAGATGACTTACAATAATAACAGACTGCTACAAAAAAAAGGAAGGTCAGGACAGTATGGTGCAGGTAGAAGATTAAACCCTGAGAATAGTGGTTAAATAGTCATTAACAAGACTTTGATAGAGACATTGAACATTAGCACAGAGGTTCAGAAAAGAAATCTAGATGACTGGTGACTGGGTAACTTTCAGATGAATGTATTCTTTAAAAAATCTCAACAAGAATATATGCTCATATAATAGCACTTGGCCTTATTTGGTATGAACTAGTTTCTTGTCCCCAAGCAAAGCCAGCAAATATGATTTTTAATAGCAGTAAATGTACTATGGACATTCCTGTCCTTAACAGTATTACAAAACAAGTTTTTCTATGTCCCCTGAGAATAACCTGTACCAGTCTCACTCCATATTTCATGTTTTTAGAAGCTACACCACCAGACAAGCTGTGGGGTACTGTAAGAACTATGAACCTTCAAGTGGTCTCTGGAAGATTGTTTTGAAACTGATTGTCTCAGTTTTAGAATATAGGAACTTGCCAATTGGGGCTGTAGGCTCAGCTGATTCTGTCTACCTGACCTATGATTTCTGTTCCCCCAACTGCCAACATCTGCACAGAGATATGTCTCAGAGAAGACCTCATGAGAATTCTTCCCTTGATGGGAAGCTGAGAGAGCAACCCATTCCTGGTGCTGATGGAACACTAGCGTCCCTTGTACTCCTTCTGAAACACTGAAATGAGCAGAGTACACTCAATATCTTCAGTTAGAGGACCAAAGTCTTCTTCCCATAGAAAATAAAAAGCTATTAATAATCACTGGCTATATTTTAAATAGTCCAGTTATCATCCAATTTTAGGTACATCGTTTAAAAGGCTCTTGGGAATTTATCTAAAAGCCATTTGTGATATTTTTTAATATAGATATCTGAGTCCTAACTAATCAATCTAATGCATACTTTTTTCTTAAAGAAAAATTCAGATTGGAGCCTTTCTCATTTAAAGCATTTCTCAAAGACTTTCTTGCAAAATAAATATATCTTAAATGAATCCCTTTGACAATGTTTGCATTTCTAGAACAATTAAAATGCTTTTACAAAATCCAAAAAGTTTCATAAAAGCATTTTATTTGTGAGTTAAATATTTCACTTCCAGATCAAACCCTACCCTTCTTTTACAAATGTATATACAAACATACAATAATGGTTATCATGTAGGCTTTTCTATGCCTAGAAAATGTCCATGTCCCTTACCGAGAAACACAAGTAATCCTTGCTTTGTAGGGGTGCCTCTTCAAAACTGTTCTTCCAAACTTGAAAGAATACTTGCAACTCCAAGGAGGGTATCCTGCTTTCTTAAGATTTTGAAGGTCCAGTCATCTTCGAGGCCTCAGTTTCAGAGTGGTCTAAAGCAGTTTCACATAAAAGGACGTTTCCTTGTTCAACAGCACAAGAAGTTGCCGACTTCATTGCAAGGGCTGCAGAAGGACTAGACATGGATCTTCTTCCTGACTGGACAGCTGACTGGTCAGCACACTTAGATGTCACTTGATGCATCTTTCCAGCCCCTCTCCACTTCTTGAGTACTACAGTCCTTTCTTCTGGAGTTAGTCTATCAAAGTGCTTAGCTCTTAAAATTGGAGATGGAAATAGGGATCCTTGAAGAACTCGGTATATAAACCTAGGTTACAAGAGCATTGCAAGATTATGTTCACCTCAAATGCATCATGGGACCCGCAAAAAATACTAATCAATTTAAAAAGTAAAAGAGTCTAGTAGCCACTGGCTCCTCAGGTAAAGGGAGATTAAAACATTACTAAATAAGCTAATATTTGTAAAGAACTTAGAAACAGTAAGTGCCCTATAAGTGCTTGCTAAATAAATATAAAGTCTGCAAAAGTATAGATTTCAATAGTTGCAGTATCATAGGATTACTGTAGGTAATTTGTATTATCCTAAGATAATACAAGTCAGGTAGAGTTTTGGGTAAGTATTCAACAATTTTAGTTTCCTATGGCTACTGTAATAAGTTATTACAAACTTCTTTCTTTCAGGGCAAGCTGACAGTGTTTCTACTGATAGAATATTCTAAAAAATCTTGTAAGTCTCCCATGTATATTATTGAGATTTATGTCACTGTACAAGAGATCCTCCATAGAGCTTCCTTGTATGCTCCTGAGATGACTGAGGGAATCTATGAGTCACATACCTAAACTTTTAGACTAGCAGAAAGGCTGTCCAGATAAACCCCTGGCCTTATCTCCAGAGCATACTCCTAACAGTCAATCTCCTAATTTTAGCAATGTTTAGTAATGTCTGAAATCTATTAATTCATTTTGACTTAAGACTTAAGCAATAAAAATAAATGGTGCTATACCACTAATTTGGCTTAGGACTCTCCCCAGCCAAATACCCAAGTTCATTTCTTACATATTCTGCTTTCACACTACTGTGGAACACAATTCTGTCAGTATATTTTAAATATCCTCTTTCCTCAAATTTCTAATACATGTTCCTCATTTTCTTCTGAGAACACACTAGTAGTATCTTAAACCTTGTATTTCTAGCAATATTCTGTTTATGATAATATATGCATTCTCTAAGATGAAACAGGTTTTCTCTACCACACTCTTTACCTCCTTCTGGAAGGAGTGAGGACTAGCATCAACTTCTATTTAATAAGTATGGTATTTTTCTATCATTTATCTCAAAATTCTTCCAACTTCTGCCCACTGCCCAATCTCCCACAGTTCTAGAAGCAAGGATTCTAAATTCAGTTTCCCTGGGCCTAGAGTCAAGTTAGAAAGGCTATTCTCCCACTGGAGATACTACAAGAGAACCCATTCCTTTTCTAAGCTTTTGGTGGCTTCTGGCATTCTTTGAGTTGAGGCTAAGGAATCTGTTTCTACCATCAGTGCTTTTTCTTCTTCTAGAAGAGGTACACATTGACATTGAAGGGTTTATGCCCATGGTACCTTTGGATGGTTACAGCTTCGGGGAGAGTAAGGGGCTGACAGTAATATTTTAGGCTTGGGGAGCCATATAGTCTCTGTTGGAACTATTCAACTCTGTTGTTGCAGTACAAAAGCAGCCATAGATAACATGTAAATAAATGAGCATGGCTATGTTCTAATAAGCTTTATTTATAAATATAAGCAGCAATGGTCTGTGAGCTACAATTTGTCAACATTACTGGAGAATAATATAAACTCACCATTTTCAACTCTTTTATGTTTAAAAATTATTCCTTATATTGTTTTCAATCCAACATATTAAAATATTTTATAAAATTATACAGAGGAAGAGCTCTGAGTTCAGGAATCAATAGATTAAAAACCTGTGTATTCTTCTTAAACCTTTCTGTTAAATATTAGAAATCGGGTTAAACTAGAATGAGAAGGATAATTGGATACAGTAAAGTGTTCAGTTTACAGACTGTAGTGGAGACAGCTACTTGTCATCAATACCCGTGTTCCCCTCCTTCCTTTTAAAAACCTCTGGATTTTAGCCACTCAGAGTCTACATGCCTAGGCTCTGGTTGACTGGATACCAGCAGTGATATGTCCAACTTCTGAGTCATGCTGTTACAAAACAAATAAAGAAAAACAAGCTGCTTGATCTTTACTCTGTCTCTTTTGCTCCTTCCTGTGGGCAGGGGCAGGCAAGGGTGAGGATCTGGATATGCTAAGTAGGAGCCATCTTCTATTATTCAGATGACTCTGTTATGTTTTGAATGTCTGTCCTCTCCAGAAGGGACAGTTAAATTGAAATTTAACTGCTTTTGGGCTGGGAACCTAGCAAGCACAAGACCCTGAGTTAAAACCTCAGTACTGCCAAAAGAAAAAAGAAAAGACAAGAAATTTAATTGACATTGTAACAATATTAAGAGGTGGGAGCTTTATGAAATAATTAGACCATTAGAACTTCCTTATGAATGGGTTTGCCTTTCCCTCTTCATCATGTGAGGATGCAACCTTTGAGGTGTCATCTTGGAATCACAATTACCAAATGGGCGTGTGTTAATATCGGACTTCCTATTTTCCAGAACTCTTAGCCAATAAATTTTGGTTTGTAAGTTACCCAGTTTGTGGTATTCTGTTGCAGCAGTACCAAGTGGACTGAGACATGGGATTGGGAGATGGTAGAGTAAAAAGATAGAGGATGGGTTCTAGATCCTTGGATGATCTCATGAAGCAAAGCTGCCTTCTCTTTGTGAACTGTTAAATGGATTAGACCTTTTCCAAACCTCCTTGATTGCTTATGAGACTTTTGTTCTCTGGTAAAACAATTAAAACCAATATCTTAACTACTAAACAGACTTGACTTCTCTATAACTAAGCAGGGTGGTATGCCATCCATTCTTAGTAATTGCATAAAGTATTCTAAGTCTTATGATTCCATATATTCTCTTCATAATAAAACAAACTCCATACCTGGGCAGAAGAGCAATGCAGGTTGTGAGGACACAAACTAGGTAGAACATAGGATCCAGCATGTGCTCCTGCATAATCTGGTAGGGGTTGGATGGTGGGTTGCACGTTATACACATGGCTCCAAAAACCAAAGTAAAGAGAAAATAGGACAAGATGCTTCCAATGATTACCAGCATGTGGATCCAAGTCTGCAAGACAAGAAGAGCCAGAAATGAACACACACTGACAGGGTATTTCAGCTCAATAAAATCCACTCCATTAAATGAACAACACATGTAAGCACCCAGTGAATGGTGTTATAAATCTGATCAAACAAACACAAAATACTGTTGAGATAAGAAAAGAGCACCTTTCACAAATAGCTCGTATCATTCTTTGGATTCTATAAGTCTAAATCAAATGTTAAAAGGTAATTCTGTTCACTAGTTTATTCTATATTGTCCATGCACAAGGAGGTATTTGGATTTTCTTTTTAATTTTTTTCATATAGTCTGTTTCCACATTAAAGTAAGACCTAAATCCAGTGATCTTCAAACTGTAGCTATCCACACACCTACAATTGGTCACCCATATTCTTATTCTCCTTCACCACTGAGCATTTAAGTGAATTGCACTGCCTTACCCCCTGGAGATTAAGCATGGCCATATGACTTGCTTTAACCAATGGAAAGGATATGTAAAACTTTCATGTTAGAAGGATATAGTAGCAGATGTGCAATTTTCAGTGCTGTCTCCTTTCCTTTCAGTCTGACCAAGAGGTTCCCTTTTAGGATAATTCCTCATAGTACAGGTGCAAGATGCAGCCTGAGCCACTGAGCTACCCTTCTGAGAACAATTGCTTCTAGAACCGTATGGAACATCAGCAAAAATAAATGAGCAAAAACAAATCTAATAAGCAAAAATAAGTCTATGTCATACTATAACCTAGCCACCTTCATATCCATATGTAACTTATAAAATCATTTTTTCTTAATGTTTTCTTTAAACTAGCTCAGTACTTAATTAAGCAATTTAATTTAGAAAGAAAAGTAGAACATTACTTTAAATGTGATATTAGCATCATCTGGTTAATAGGGTTGAATCTGGAGTCTGATCTGTTATGAAATGAGATTAGTGAGAATTGTGAAGAAATATAATAACATCAAACAGATTTCCTCTTTTATATAATTGGAAGTATGAAAAGAAAGAGCCAGAGAGCAGAAAGTAATGATGGACTTGTTGGGGTGGCACTCGAATTTCAACTGGCTCCAGTCATTTTCTCCATGCTCTGGCCTCACTGTACTCCAGGTTTGGTCCCTGATGATGGAATGCAATTTCCTGAGCTTCAGTCATAGGCTTTAGTGAGGGGAGGAATTGCCAGACTTGCACAATGCTGTAAGAGCTTATGGCATACCCTTAGGTGGGAACCAAAAGTACCTCCACAACTGCCTAAAAATTAAAATGAGACCCAGAATTTCAGTTCTAGAATTTCCTTTATCTAATCTGGTATTTGCTTATATTGACATTTTATTACATTTTGGACTTGTAAAGTTTGGTTATAGATGATTATGTATAAGCAAAACAAGAGATTCAAAAATAAATATTTAACCCTACTTTAGAAATTATTAAAAATAATTTGATAATATAACCTCATAAATTTTGAATCATAACCTCATTCAGCTATTTCCTGCTTAAAATTCCCTCATTACCAGTATGACAAATATTCCCCTCAAAGTGGCTGGATATTCATTTATTCACTCAAGTATTTTTTGACCCCTTACTATATATCAGTTCTGTCTTTGACTGGTATACAGTGGTGAACAAAACCTCACAGAGATTACAGTCTAATGTAGAAGGCAAACATGAATCAAATCATCACACAATTAAATGCGTAATTATAAATTATTATTAGAACTATGAATAAAAGCAAGAGAGTAGTATGATAGAATGGATAGTTAGGGAAAGGCTCTATGTGGAAACAGCATTTTTGCTGAGATCTAAAGTGATCTAAACTAGCATTTGAATTTGGTAAACTACATGGGTACAAGTGGCAACTAAAAATATCTCCACTAATAGATAGGTAAGAGCCAAGTACCTGATGTGATAATGAGCTCAATGTATCTGAGAAGTTGAAAGAGAAATAATGTGGTTCCAGCCCCTGAATAAGTGGAAATGAGGTTGGAGATAGGTAAGGGTGGCATTGCAAGAGACCTAATAGGCCGTTTTAGGGCATTCAGAGTTTATTCCACATACGTTAGAAAACCCTTGAAGGGTTTTGCCCAAGGGAAAGCAAAAAAAAAAAGATTTTATATTATGATAAAGGATACAATCATCATATATTAAAGTCAGTGTGCCAGGATCAGCTTGGTCTTGAAGAACACTGAAGGGTAATTACCTTCCTCACCTTGATTCACACCTTCTGGAACCATTCACCATTGGTACTATCAAGGGGACACTTGTCCACTTTGCCTGGCAACACACTGACCTCAGCATAATAACATCAATGATCACAAAGAGTAGCCATGAATCACCCTCCTTCCATGGAGCCATTACTCTTCTCATTAGCACAGATCTTGTAGGCATGAAAGGTTTAGCAGGGTCACTGCTAATAGAAGACATTTTCCCTAAGCATAAAGAGTTCTAGGTACCGCAGAGACAGGAAAACCACTCACCAAACTCTTGCTCTCAATGACCAGATGGAGGAGAATGATGAATAGAGCTGCTGTGTTCAGGGGGTTTCCAAATGTAAAGATATCAATGTCTGAGCCCTGGTATGTCTACAAAGAGAGAAAAATAGCTGATGAGCTTGGAGAGCTGTGCACACTCTCTGGTGTGAGCAACACAACTTTATCTACAGCTCAAATCTGAGGCTTGAGTCTTTTCTACAATTTCCTATTAACTGGTCCCTTAAGACAGATGAACATTTCCAAAGAATAGACTGAACCTCTCCCAGACTCATCTAATTTTTGAACTTTGTAGTTCTGAATCATATTTCATCTTCCTGGAAGCTTCTACTCATACTTTTAGGCATACCGAAATATCAAATTTGTTAAAAATTTGAAACTATTTTTATGACTAACGTAAGCTGACACTTCTTCTGGGTAAATATCCCCTCCTCTACTACCTATATGTTTTTAAATCCTTAAACCATTCCTCAAATGACACAATATTCTGATCTTTTGCCACTCTCTCTGAATACCCTTCCGGTTGTCTTGTCTATATTTCTCTTGAAGTGCAATATTCTAGTGACGCTAATTCAAGTGACTTAATTTGAATAAAGAATGAAAAGTATTAACTTAGAGACTACCATTGCTTTTATTCTCAACACTGGACTTCCATTAACACCATCCATGATCAAACAAGTGTTTTTTCTGGAAAGAAGTATGTGCTTTGTACTTGGTGTCTGAAGTTTTCAAATTAATTTTAATACATACTTTGTGTAATTTCCTTTATTTTTTTAATTTTTTGATTTTTATTTTTGGAGAGACTACTTACAAGAACTTTAATACTCCAGAAGTCATTTAATAGAATTAGCCCAACACTCACTAATAAAAGCTTTCATATTCTGACTTTGCCTCTGATTTTTGACTAATCTAATTATATGGTCAGATTTTCAATTTTAGTCAAGTCATTGACAAAAATTAGCATGGAGTTCAGGGTTAACAAGAGACCCAAGAGAACTCAACCAGGTACTTAATATAATCTATCGTCTCTTTTGGGGGGTATGATAGTCAACCTGATTATAAAAGCAGTCTACTACTTCACAGTCTGATATCAGAAGCAAAGTACAAAGAAGCATCTTTGAATCATTAATAACAAATACACCGACTGAACAAAGACTTACAAAGTAAGGCACAAAGAAGCAGACCAGGCTCTGATAAAAGGCATCTAACAAGGTGATCCAGAAGGTAAGGGGTAAATATGCCTGGAAATGAAACATATTGGAGAGGGAGTAAGATTAACAAGGTTAGTGCCAAGTCATGAAACAACACAAGCTGGTACTTAGTTTTGCTTCTGTGAGAGAAAAACTCCGCAATTCTTTCACTCATAAACTAGAGAAGATTGTCACCAGTGGTGGAGGAATGAGGGCAGTTGAATGAAATGGGTTCACAGTTGACTGTAGTGAAAATAATCCTTAAAGGAACTCTTATTCAGCTCATTGGATCCATTTAAAATCTACCTTTATCATTGGGTTTTTTTTTTAAAAGATGGAGAATGAACCAAGAGCCTATGACATGCTAAGCACACACTGTCACTGAATCATGTCCCCAGGTCCTTTTGTATCAATTTTAAATCAACCTGAAGCAGAAATAATAGTACTTTTTCATTTCCTATTGGGCAGACAGTACTATTCAAAAGCTTCTCTAAATCCATTCATTTCTTTTTATCAACACTACTTTCTTTATTCCAACTTGTCATCAACTCTCTCTATGAATGACTGGATAGCCGTCTACTGATTTCTTTGTTCTCTTTCATGCCCTCAAGCTAATGAGTTCATATCAGGAAGATTATTTTCTAAAATTGTAAATCAGTTCATGACATCTCCCTAACAAATCAAATTGCCTCCTTCCAGTCACTTCAATGATTCCTACTGCATATAAATACAAGAGAAGTTCCTTTCCAATACCTGTAAGTTCCGCCCAATGAATAGCTCTTCAGAGTCATTTCTTCCCATTATTATCCCATAACATGGACTTTCATTCTTTTCCTTGAACATGCCAAATCCATTTACATCCATTCCTCCATTACAGTTCTTCCTTATCTAATTCCTAGCTTAAATACCACCTCATAGGGCCTTACCAAACCAGATGAAAAGTTGTGACTAATCACTTTCTACCATGGTATCCTTGACAGAATCTCATCTTGTTTGTTTACTTAAGGATTTTTTGGCTCTTTCAATGGAATGCAAACTTCAAAGAGTGGGACTTTGGCTTTTAATTCAAGTGATTAAAATGATGCCGGGTTCAGTGCATGTACTCAACAAATATTCATTAGGTTTATAAGATATTCTTCTATAGCATCTCACTTGCTAAAAGTCTTTCTACCAAAAGCTTGTATAAAGAGATGGAAAGATCAAGGAGTTACTGGTCAAATAATTGAAAATGGGCTCTCAACCAAGAGCCAATTAGGATGAATGGTAACATATGTGAATATGGATTCTGAGGCTGCATTCAGACCCAGCAGGAAAGAAGACTATGGCTTATTATTGTCCAAGTGTGTCATGGACAAAAGTGGAAATGTATTAGATTCCTGAGCTAGTCTTTTCATAACATGTTCTTCTTAGTCTTGTTTTCTTCCAAATGCATCGACGCTAAAATTTCCTTGAGAAAATGTCTTACAATTTCCTAAAGAATAAAACTTTATATGTATACAAATTCTCTGTATATATTCTTCCATTCTTCAAAAGGCTACAGTTGGAAATTTATATCTGTTCCTTTTGTCTCTTTGTCCACTGGAAAAATCAAAGGAATAAAGATGAATTGTTTTTAGACTTTTTGCCCCATATCTTCTCTCACTATTTCCTCACTGGGAATGGTGGGACATTTTATCTGTTTTTCATCATCTAAGTGTCTATGAAATCTAAGTAGAAGCATGGTCCAGTAATGGAAGACATTTGGTAGAGACAAAGGGACAATAAAAATGCCACTGGTAAGAGAGAATGATTTGGGGCAAGTTAAAATATAACTTCATATTTTTGGGGGAATAGAGGTGGCTCAAAAATCCTAGACAGAAAAAGTAAAAAAGTACAATTTACCCACAATCACATGAAGAAGAGGACTTACAGAAGGTATAAAGAGAAGGGTCAGCCAGGTGCCAGTGGCCAGCTCCTGTAATCCTAGCTACTCAGGAGGCAGAGATCAGGAGGATCCCAGTTTGAAGCCAGCCCTGGCGAAAGTTCCCAAGATCCCATCTCAAAAATATCCAACACCAAAAAGGGTTGGTAGAGTAGCTCAAGTGACAAAGCACCTGCCCAAGCATGAGGCCCTCAGTTCAAACCCCAGTACTGAGTGAGAGAGAAAGAGAGATAGAGACAGACAGAGCTAGAGCTAGAAAGCGAGAGAGAGAGAGAGAGAGAAAGAGAGAGAGAGAAAAGCATCAGGGATAAGATAAAAATAAGTGAAAGCCCGAGGGATTTACCTCATCAGATCTCCCGGAAGCCGAAGGGAAAATCTGAACATGAAATCAAAGCCAGAAAAGAAGACTGTGGTGCTGAGAGATGGGTAATAGGTGATTGCTTCATGGAAGAGAGTCCTCTGACTGTGGATGTCCAGTCTCATTTGCTTTAGGGGACAGAGATTCTATAGCTCTGGAGAGTATATATGAGTCAAGAAATGACCCATACATAAAACAGAATTTGTTTGGAGGCCAAGTTCAAAGAAAGGTCAAATTCTGGAGGGTAAGGTCAACGAAACCACCTTTTACTGATAGCCATATACTGGGAATCTGCCTGCTATTATCATGTTTTATAAAACTGGCTAGCTCAAAATAACAATGTGTACAAAGAAATGATAACAGAGTTCAACAACTGGAAACAAAGATCTTAATTCTCCCAAGAGTAAGAACCAGTTACAATCTTCAGTCTGTACACAGGAAAGTTTAAAACACTAGCTATAAAACTTTTGATTGGAAGCCTCCTTCTTTCCCGAATGGACTTGGGATTTAACTTAGGTTGGGGGTACAGGACCACCTTCAGTGATCACAACCACACATCCCTACATCCTGGCCTTTAAGTTAGACTGGACTCCTTTTGGGAAACCCCAAGTAGTTTGTGATTAAAGGGGATCAGATGATGTTAAAGGATTATAAGGATTTCTTTCTCCTGGAAGAATGGGCACTTCTCTCTGTTGGCTATTCCTGGTACCTGAGGACACTAAATCACCTTCCTTTCCAGAATGACCATTTAAGTCAAAATAAAGTTAGATGGATGAAAATAAATGCATAATTTAAAATTTCATAATACCTCAAGTTTCAGAGTAACTGTGGATAAAAATAAAAATATCGAGAGTTTAACATAGCTGGAAATTTTACATACATCTTCCTTAATTATCACATCATTTCTATAAAGTAAATAAAGGACAGGCAAATTAAAATACTTAACAAGACACACATCAGAGTCAAAAATTTTGACTCTGGTTGTATTGATATGTGTCAATGTCTCCAAAAACTGCCTGCTGGTAGGGGGAATATTTTGGGGATTGGGTTTATGCATGTTAAGCATTTGGTACAGAACCTACAATTACATAAATATTCATAAGGGCTATCTTAATGTGGATTGTTAATTTTGTGAAAGATGAATTAGCAACAAGAGGGTTTTTAGACAGTGACCCAGCTTAATTGACTACTATGATCCTCTAGGTAAGAGACAAGAAGGTACATGAAAAGGATCCAGAGATAAAGAATGGAGACAGGGCTTGGTTTCAGAGAGTGAGTCATTGAGATCAGTTCTGTTTGACATGACAGCAGAACCTGAAGAACTTTACTGGGCTTGGGAAGCAGATGAAGATAGCTTCACATCCTGGTTCTTCTCTTTATTATCTATGAGAGTTTTGGGAAAATCACTTAATGTCTTGAGAACGAAATTCATGGTTTTAGAATGGGAACAAAACTAGGTTCCATCTCAAAGTATTTTCATGGAGATAAATGTGGCAGGGAATGTTTACTGCTTAACCAGTAGGTGGCACAGTGGGTTTTTTTTTTGTTTTTGTTTTTTTTTTGGGGATACTAGAGTTTGAACTCAGGGCCTACACCTCTAGCCACTCCACCAGCCCTTTTCTGTGATAGGTTTTTTTCAAGATAAGGTCTTGCAAACTACTTGCCCTAGCTGGCTTTGAACTGCGATCCTTCTGATCTTTGCCTCCTGAGTAGCTAGGATTATAGGCATGAACCACCAGCACCTGGCTCACAGTGGGGTTTAATAAATGCTACATACAATATGTAGTAAGTCTCAAACACTGGATTTCTTAGAAGCACATATGGCTTTTCATAGATTCATCTGTGTTCATATCATAGGCCAGTAACTTAATATTGGCCTTGTGAGCATAGATCTTTGAAAACAACTAGATATTTTAAATGGTTCAGAATATGCTATAGTATTTGGACTGGGCTGACTGGCTGGGCAGATACACAGCCTAAGCATTTTGGCTTTAGCACCTACCTCTGATTTCTGACCACTCTGGTATAGTTCAGGCAGTTGCATGAGGGTCTCTGCAGATATATCTTTCTCTAAAACACCATAAATGACAGGGGGAGCAGATGTGAACAGGAGGTTGAAGAAGATCAAAACCCAATAGTCAGTCATGGATGTTCCTGAAAATCCACAAAAGAACTGGTACCAGAAAAGGAGGTTCACATAGGCCTAGAGGCACAAAGAGAAACATTCAGATCTTAGAAACAGCAATGTATATTATGATCAGGCATACCTTTTGCTGCCATTTTGAGCTGTGTGACCACAGCCTCTCTGAATTTCAACACTTACAAAATGGAAGACCACAACTTCGAGCTTTTTGTTTGTTTTGGGTAAATGTTTTATTAAATTAAAGTGCATACACACATCACTTACCATATGGTGCTTGCACTACCTTAAAAGCTTTACAAATAATTCATTTAGTCTTCATGACAATCTGGGAATTACTGCTTTTCCCATTTTACAGATGAGGAAACTGAGTATAATGAACTAAATGTTTGTGTACCCCCTAAAATTCATATATTCAAATCTTAATCTCCATTTTGATGGTATTAGTGGATGGGATCATTGAGAAGTAACTAGGTCTTCATGGTAGAACCCTTGTGAATGGGATTAGTGCCCGCATAAAATGAACCCCAGAGAGCTCCTACTATCCTTTACCCTGTGAAGATACCATCAGAAAGAGGGCCTTCACCAGAAATCAACCATGCTGGCACATTGATCTCAGACTTCCAGCCTCTGGAACTGTGAGAAAAAAATTTCTTTTATAAGCCATCCATCTGTGGAACTTTGTTATAACAGCTTGAATGGACTAAGACACTTAGGCACAAAGAGGCTAAGAAACTTGAGTTCTGTAGAGAGTTTAGCTCTAGATGAAGAGAACACAACTTAGTGCCCAGAACAGAACATGCCTACCATGAATGTTTTCTTTTGGTTTCTGTGTCCACAGTTATTTTTTAATAGTAAAATGGGATACTGCCAGCAGAGTGGTCAACCATCCAGTTTGCTTGGGACTGAGAGGTTTTCCAAGCCATGGGATTCTCATGCTAAAACTGGTACAGTCCCAGATAAACATGGATAGCTGGCTGTCATAGAGATCAGGCACATGCATCCTACATGGTTTCCTCCAGTATTTTGTCTCAAACTAAACTAACTGTAGAAAAAGCTCTTTGCTCTTGAGCAGGGCAGACTAAAGGAAAGGGCACTGAACTTAGGTTTGGGGGTTTATTTCAAGGCCTAAAGACATTTCTTATTGATTGCTTGATGTTAGGCCATTTTTACAACCTCTGTGAATACTGGTTTCTTCCTATGTAAAATGAGAATTATACCATCTCAAAACTTAGTATCAGGATCAAGTTAGAAAGTGTTCATGTCTTGCAATGAGCCATACAAATGTTAAGGTATCATTATTGTTGACATCATAGAACACTAGAACACCTTAAGACGCAATACTCAAAATAGATTGTCTTAGTCTAGTGTGCAGGGACATGCATTGTGCTTAGCTGCTGAAAACATATCCATCCATTTTAGATACAAGTGGTTTGGGGCATTACTCTGGGGTATGAATCCATAGACTTCATTAATATCTCAAAAGTTGTCCAATATGCAAGAACAGTTGTGTTAGAAAAATAAGTTGCTTTAAGGCTTCTGGTTCTGGCCTATTTCTCTAAAGCTTATGAAATAATTTTGTTTAGCTAGATAAATAAGAGGTAGAAATGAAGTCTGTAGTGTCAGCATAAATGACTGACTGGTGGGTTAGACAGCAGAAAGTCAGGGTCTTTTATTCCCTGGTGATGTCTTATCTACTAACTAGAGTGCTGTCTCCAAAAGCATGTAGCTTCTTTCCTAATATTTGTGTTTCTCAACCCTTGGGTTTAAAAGCAGAGTGGTGATGGTGGTGGTAGAGATTTGCATCACAATAAGGAAAGAAATAGGAAGATGCAAAAGTACTTTAAAAAAGAACACTTGGGAGAGGTCCTCCTTTCTAAGAGTCATAGACCACAAAGGCCTAGAATTTAAAATTGTAAACCACAGGTTTACCCATACTCATACATTCAGACAGACTTTATACATTTCCAGTAGTTTTGTAAAGTATCTGATTTTTTCTAAACTTTGATTAAATAGGCTAATTTGAATTAGTAAAGTGCTGATAGCTTCTTGAAAAGTTCATCATGCTGTGGGAAAAAAATTTTACTACTACTATTACTACACACACAGAGGCCTAAATTATACAATTACACATTGGTGACAGCCTAAAATGATCCATTATTTTTCCCTAAAGATAAAATTTCAATAGAGTGACTCATTTTTGTCTATTACTAACATGCTACATATATACTTTAAAGACTAAGAATAGATTTTCCTAAGAACCATGATTATTTACCTAGAAATAATTATCCACCTAGAAGAGATTTAAATCAATTTATGGTCAGCCCAACTTTATAAAAAAGAAAACTGAAATTTAAATGATATGGCAAAGGTTTGAAGACAGAACTTCTAAATTCTGCCCACTTAGGAGTGACATCATCCAAATAAAGTTGTGTTTCCATCACAAATAAAATACCTACCAGGCCCAAATAGATTTTATAGGCTACATCAAAAATTCTTGCAATTGTGAGTGCTATTCAGCTATTGGCTCACATTATACTGGGTTTTTTCATCTTTATCTGTCCTCAGTATACTGCAGGAAACTGTAAACAGCAGATTTTTTTTTTTTTTTTTTTGGTTAACTCCAGTAAAATGGAAGCAAACCTTTTCATTTTCTACTGACAGCATTAAACATTTCATAATTCTGCTTGTCACAATCTTTTTATAGAAGGTAAAAATTGGATTTTAAATGAACCAGACAGGACTTAATTGAATTTAAATGCATAGGGAGTAGAAAATGTTAGCAGATGGACAGGCTTAGCAATTTGCTGTCAACAGTTCAAACACACATTCCAGATTATTTCTGGAAAGACAGCAGGGCTGCTCCTGGCAGTTCCCAAAACACTAATACGCAAAGTGAGCTTAATATAGGGCATTTCTTTTCATCCCTGAGGCAACTAGAATTGGAAGATTGGAACAGGGAAGTGACAAGTTTGTTGTCATTACATACCACATTCTTGTAGAAAAAATAGAGAATCATGTTGGAAAGTCGCATGTAACACCAGTGCCCATGTACAAGAAGGAGCTTGTTGAGATGTCTGAACTGAGAAATGGCGAAGTCACTGGCCATCACAGCCTGCAGAGGCAATGGGGGGAGAAGGCCACCCTGAGCAACAGAACATGTTAGAACAGACACACGGACAGCCGGACCATCACCATACCCAATTGGTCAACACACACACACACACACACACACACACACACACTAGCAGCAACAACAAAAACTCCACAAATATAAGAACTTGAATGGACTGCCTGGAGGACTATCCCCCTTTCTAATGGGCCACATGAAACATTAGTTACTACTAGTGATGTAATTTCAGCAAATGGATTTTCCCTAGAAAGCAGGTCCCTTAGCAAGAACTCTGTCTTCTGTATTACAATGCATTTTTGTTTCTCCTCAACAAAGAGATTACTAAGAGGTATTGCAGTCATGGTTTCATGTGACTTTGTATCAAGGAAGTATCTGAATCTGTTGTCTTTCATGTAGATGTCGATTTATACAATTCTTGAAGAGCTCTATACTTCAGATTCCACATTCCTCTGCCAGCCTTTGCTCTGTACCAAAAATCAGTCTTGTAGGTTGCTTATCTAAATTTTGTGCCTAAAATACTTTCTCTCTCTTTCTCTGTCACACACACACATACACCCCCCATACTCTCACATCCCTTATTCTCTCATATCCTTTTTTCTCTCTTCCTTTCTCCACTCTGAAGATTTTTATGTCTTTTACTTAAATCCTAGTAGCTCTTTTTATTGTTGTGCTAGGTGGGGGAATATTGTGGCATTTACAAAAGTCCTTACAATGTATCAAATATATCATACTTGAATTCACCCCCTCCACCATTCTCCTTTATCCCTCCCCAGTAGCTTTCTTTAGCATCAGAATTTACAAAGCTATTGCAGAGTTACAGAATAAATTCCTATGACAAAGATAAGCTCTCTCTTTTAAACAGAACAATTTTAGCCCAGTTAAAATTATCTAGGAAATTATTATACTATTCATCCAGGAAATAACCAATGAATTAATGGCGAGAGGTCCTGTTCCCCACTTCTGACTAACTCCACACAGCCTCATTTTACCACACTTATTTTACCATAGAGAAGGCTGTCCTCAATGGGCAGGTCACGGTCATGGTACCTGAATACATAATATCTGCTCACCTGCATGCCTTCTTGACCTGAGACTCCTATCCCAATGTCTGCCACTTGTATCATGCTAACATCATTGGCACCATCACCTTCATGAGGCAGAAGAAAAAATAAGAAACATGAGAAGTAAATATGTAAACTTGGGAAATTGATAGGGGCTACTCAAGTGAACAAATAAATCCTTCAAGGTTTATCCTATTTCTCAAAGTGGCATCCCACTCCTGCCAGGACAAGTTCCAAACTCAATGCTGTCTTACAATCCTCCATGCTACGCACCTACCTGGACTGATCTTCCCTTTTCTCTATGCCTGGCCATGCAACTCAGCTATACCCTGTTCCTTCAGCTGCTTGCAGATTGTTTTTCTGTTTAATAATTCTGTCTTTATCACTTCCACTTCAGCTTGATGGATTTCAGTTGTGCTTGTTCTCAGTGTAGGTGTCATTTTTTCCCCTGTGAAATCCTTCTAATAGTTCCATTAAGTCAAAAGTCCCCCCCAGTATCATCCTGTGTATTTCTATCATAGCCATCACATGGTTTTATGGTTGCATGTACATTTTTTTGGCTCCTCCAACATCAGAAGTTTCTTACAAAGAGATACTATATGTTTACTGCTAATGAACATATGTTGTTCCAAAGGCCTGTTAACTACTCACCTGATTTCTGGTAATAGTATTCTGAGACTTTGGTGACTCTTGAGTACAAGGAGTTTGTTAGGGCGAAGTCAAACACCCACATTTATGGGTGGGAAAATGACCCAGGTCTTAAAATCAATATTTGCTATTCCCTGGCCTCAGTGATTGCTTTAAAGATGGGCACTGGCTTAATTAATTAATTAACTTAATTAATATAATTATAAAGACCAGGGATTCTAGCTTCGGGAATATTTCAATTCAGAGGCTTGAATAATTCATCTATTTATATGTTTATCCTACAAGACAATTGAACAAAATCGCACCCTACCTCACATTACTTCTCTCCAGTTGTGCTCATTCTTGGATGGTCTCATAATAGCAAGCCTCTTATACTCTCTAGAATTACAATACAACTTTTTTGTGTGTATCTTTAGCCTATTTCTTGTTGCTAATTTTCAGACTTTTATTCTAGTTGTACACTTGCCATCACTGCTTAAAAATCTAATGGACTTTTCAACTGAGTAAGTATAAGGTCCAGCTGATTCCTCCACCTCCACCTCAGTAAATGGTAGCTCAATTCCTTCAATTCTTTTATAAAACTTTGGTATTCCCTTTGACAACTCTTTCTCTCATATAACACATATAATTCATCAGCAAATGCTACCAGCTGTATCTTCAAACCATGCCATTGTCTGCCTATGTTCCACCACCCCCTCTGCTCTAGTCTGGTCCAAATCCACCATAATCTCTTTTCTGAATTATCTCAACAGGTTCCCAAGTTGTCTCCTTATTTATGTATTTGTAGCTCAACAGTTATTCTCATATGCCAGGGAATAGATCCTTTAAGTTAAGACAGATCATCTCCTACCTCTGTTCAAAAATATTCTATTATCTTCCTATCTCTTCAGATTAAAGCCAAAATTTTATAATGGGCTTCAAGACCCTATGTGATATGGCCACCTGCCTCCTCTCTACCACTCACTAAACTGCACAAAAGTCTTCCCTTGACCTTGGACACATCATGTGTGGCTCCCCTCATGGCTTTAATATTTGCTATTCTGTCTTCCAGGCAAGTTCACATGTATATGTCTCATGGCTCTCTATCATTTACTTTGAGTGTCTGCCCACCTACAGCTTTAGCAGTCTTCACCTTCCCAAACATTCTGCACTCACCTCACTCTGCTTTTTTAAAAAATAGCATTTGTCATTATCAGGTCTCTTCCATGCTTACTTTCCTTTTGGTCATTTGTTCTACTCTACGCCCTCCTATTAGATGTAATCTCCTTTAAAAAAAAGTATTTTGTCAATTTTATATACCGTTGTGTCTTCATCATCTAGGGAAAAACATCGGTGCAAAGAAGGCACTCAATATGTATTTATTGAGTAGATAAATTAATAAATAAATAAAGGTTTCATGTATCTGAATTCAACTTTCATGAAAGAAGAGCTCTTGGATTTTTACTGTTCTGTGATTCAATATTTCACTCAATTTAACACAGCTGATTTGGAGATTTGACATGTAACCCAAAGAGTCTTGACTAATATATTGTTTTATGTGTCCCATACCTAACACCTGTTTCATAGCAGGTGGTTAAACAAGTAATGAAGGGACTGGGGAGGGAATGAAGGGGCACAGGGAGAAAAGGAGTAAGAAAAAGAAGTGTAAATAGATATATAGAAGGAAGGACAGACAGAGGGATCCACCTCTGGTGTAATGAAAAGTGTGGAGACTGGTCTCATTCCCACTCACCTATGGCCAGGGTCATCACCTGGAGATGGTTGCGAACCAATTTTACCACCTCGCTTTTCTGCAGAGGTGTGGCTCGGCAGCAAACCACAGCTTGGCACCAAGCAGTCAGCTCCAGGAACTGCTTTTGCAGACTCTCCTGCAGGGCAAACTCTAGAGTCTTCCCAGTGATAATGAGTCCAGCTTGTGGCCTTGTGTCCTGGGGTACAGGAGGCTGAGAGAAATCTTCTCTTAATGATGCTTGCTCTTTAGAGACTGTAGTTTTCTTCTGAAGTTCTTTCAAAATTGTGCTCATCAGCATCTCACAGGCATCCTTAAACAAAGAGGCAAAGATAGTTAGCTTGAGGCTGCATTATGTGTCAGCTAAATTTTTCATTGTCATTCTTCAGGAATTGCTGGGACAAGGCCACCTCAGGTAGTTGGTAACTTTCAAAGACTTTACAACTCTTCCACAGAGAGCACTGTATATGTGAGGATGGGTTAAAAGGCTGGCGGCATATCTTACCCAATTCTATAGCCAGGGTGTCTATGTAATATGTAAAATTTCTTCATGCGTGCAATTTGTCTTCTCAAACAATGAATCTCAAGAATCCTTTGGTCTTATTCTGCCACTTATTAGTTGTTTTACTGTAGGCAAATTATGCCACTTCTCTGAGTCTCAACTTTCTCATCTACAAAGTGCAAATATTATCTATATCCTAATATTGTTGAGAGGAACAAGTGAAATAATGCACACAAAACTCCTACTGGAAAGCATGACACATGACAGACAAAATAGTGGTTATTGTTTTCATCTTCTTTTTGATTCAACAGATCAATCTACTCACTAAATATTTAATAAGAGACTGCATTGAAAAAACATTCTAGGCTCTGGTGATATGTCAATGAACATGTAAGTTCATGGCCTTCTGTAGCTTACACTGCTCAGAATGTTTTTGGTTCTTATCATATCTGGTTTACTTATATCCTTACTCTACACTAGTTAGGGAGTTCTTGAAAGGCAGCTATCATCTTTACTTCTGACATCTTCATAATGCCTAAAGAAGGCACATCAGGCACTCAGTAAACATTTGTTGAGTGAATTCTACCCCAGAAGACTAACACTAAACTTATGAAGAAATAATTATGTCAAATGACCACTAGAGACAGAGCACAAATCCAGGAGCAATAAATTTAAGCATACACATACCAAGTCTGAAATAGTTCATTAAAGAAAGAGGCTCTTGTGCAGTGCCTGTTTATTTTTACTTAAAGTACTACCCACCGAGCATTTCTTGATCCACCACAAAATAAGAGGTGTAAGGAAGAAGTAGATATGGATACATAGGCATGACACAGCAAAGACTTAATGACCACATAAATTATAAATGAGATTTGCCATGGCTTGAATATGGTTTGTCCCCACCAAAACTCATGCTGAGGCTTAATTACCCAATCTTATAGTATTGAAAGGTGGAAAGACCTTTAAGAGGTGAGGCCCAGTGGGAGGTGATCTGATCATGATCACCTTGTGAATTAATTAATGCTGGTCTTTCAGAGTAGGTTAAACTTAGTAGGAACAGGTTAGTCCACCAAGAGCAGGTTGTTATAAAAGAGCCAGCCTGCCCTCCTCCCTAATCTCTTTCTTCCATAGACAATGATGAATCAAATATGTTCATCACAGGCCCATGAGCATGCCATGTGAGCTCTTCCAAACTCACCATTTTGTATGCATTCCCTTGGTGTGATGTTATCTGCCATGAAGCTCTCACCAGAAGCTGTAGCTGGCACCATGCTCATTAGAACTGTGAGTTAAACAAACTTCTTTTCTTTAAAAAGCACCCACCCTCAGACATTTTATTATTAACAACACAGAATGAACTAAGATTCAACTATAAAATGGAGCTACTTGGCTGCTTTACCTTAGAACAAATTTGGTCCCATATACCTCCAAAGCCATGAAGGAAAAGTACAATGATGAATCAAGTATACTCACTATAGGCTCAGTATAAAATAGCAAAAATTACTTGTAAAAACTTTCTAGAGTTTGGGTAAATTAAAATGACGTGACTTAGAAAATAACATACCCTGCAGTCATTGAAAATGAACACGTCTATTAACACAAAATGGTATTTGTAATTGAAAAGAATGTAGCTACCCTGCAACAACACAAATATATACTTGTAGCATTAATAGTGCACATTTTGTAGACTAGTCAAATACTCACTAAAGTATGTTTGTGAATTACATGTAGATTTATGACTTATAGACTGATGTCTTAACCTCTTTGATTTAAGCATTTGTTTTTATAAATTAACTGATTTTTCATTGCAAAAATAATACAGCAGTAGCCACATACACAGTCTCTAGTATGTAAGGATTCCACATTTGTGAATTTGTCTATCTGCTAACATTTATCTGCAATTCCCACATACAATACTAGCAGTTCTTTTGCAGTCATATGTTGGCACATGCAGACCAGGTCATGCGATGCATGTGAGCCAGCCGATGCCTTCTCATGGCATGTTTGGTGGCATATCTTTTTCCTCCTTTTTTCTTTATTGTTGTTGATTTTGCTAGTATAAATGGCTCCCAGTCACATGCAGCACTGCTGTCTAGTGGCCCTAAGCACAGAGGCTGTGATGCGCCATCCTGGGAAGATATTGTGATATGCTTCAGTCATGCATGAGTTCTAGTGCTACTGGCCATGTATTTAATGTTAATGAATTAATGACATATTAAATAAAGTGCCATTAAGCAGAAACACACATGAGACATGTTGTGACCAGACACCTGCAGAACACTAACTTTGTGTCTCCCCTAAGACAACAGTCAGTCTTGACTAATGCAGAGTTAGAAATAACTGTAAAACCTGACTTCACCAACAATGAGCATTGGTTGTGTATATATAGTGTGTATGATATGATACGACATCATATGATATACAAAGTGTCCTGAAATAACAGTCAGGAAATTTAAACTGTATTCCATACTGGACAAGTAATCAGTAAAGGACACTCAGAGAAATCACAGTATTTTGGAGTCTTTAACTAAAAAATGGGATAAATTTGCTTTTTTTGTTATAATTGTCAGATGAGATCATGTATGAAAAGCCTTTTATAGTTTCTAATAAACACTAAAGAAAAAGTTACTATTCGATTTACTATTCTCCAGAGAAAAAAATTAAATGAAATTACAAACACAGATCTCAAAAAGTTAAGTGAAGAGTCCTGAGAAGTCTTTGGATATTCAAATGCAGTAAATGATATAGCCTGTACTTATAGTAAAACAATAAAGAAAAAAAACCTTTATAACTTTTATAAGGATGGGAAACATACAAGGTTTGTAAGTGGCTACACATTTTGCAAATTTAGGAGCAAAGTTAATGGAAATTTATGAAGTTGACACACAGATGTGACTAGGAGTTCATTCATTAACTGCCAGGTGGCCGAGTAGAATGTTATAGAAGACATTTACTAAATGATAAAAAAAAAAGGCTCTATGACTTTCAAGTCATTTTTAACTATTTGGGACACCTGAGGGGAGGAATAGGAAAAGGGGATTTAAATATCAGTAACTGAGCATCTACTTATAAAACGAAATTATATTTTTTGTGTTTTATTTAGTAATTTGGAAAATTCACACATGTGGAATAGCTATTAATAGCAAATAATATTAGCTGCAGTAAATACTTCTTTTTAGGTGTCTTTCAACATAAATTGTCTATTTATAAATAAACTTCATAATGTTACTGACTTTATTAATCATAAAGACTCTAAGCCAATAGATAAAAATTATGTACTGTGCATCTCAAAAAACTAGAAAGATTTTGAATGCTTTTACCATAAAGAAATGATAAATAAATACACTGTATGCATATATTAATACATCACACAACACCCCCCACATGTATAATTTTTATGCTTTTAGGTATTGATTAAAATAAGTTTAATTAATTAAAAACTATCAAATTACAAAAATGAGAAAGAACGAAGGAAAGAAACAAATGAAGAGGAAGAAAACCAATGCAGAAGTATTTTAAAAGTTTAACAACAGGTACAACCAAGCCAGTGCACATGAGCTAACTGACTGCTGGTTATGGTATTTATTATTTCCTACAGACTATATTGACATTTGAGCCAGGTAATCCTTGGACACAGGGAATGGGGGCTTACCTGCACACTGCAGGGTATTTAGCATGATCCATGGCCTCTGCCCACAAGATATTGGTAGTATTCCTTCTTCCCCCAGTTGTGGCACCAGAATGTCTCTAGACATTGTCAAGTATCCCCGGGCGGGGGGGGGGGACAAAATCATCCTTGGTTGCAAAGGCTGATTTTATGTAACTGGCCTAATCCATGATACATCCTGCTTCCCATGATGACAGAATTCACCAAGTCTGTTTTCACAGATGCACACAGCACCCCCACACACGAGAATGTGAGGAGTCCTAGGCCTGTCAGGCACTCAATATCATGCCTGGTTTCTCCTGTATACAGACACAGGAACTATATGGAAGAATGCTCAAAGTGTCAACAGAGGTTTTCTCTGAGGAAAAAATTTACTACTTTATATTTTTAAAATTGTTTTCTGTATTATTTGAGTGTTTAATAATAGCCATATATTGTAGTTATAACCAAAATAAAACCTTTTCATGTTTTAAAAAGAACTCTAAGTCAAAATCAAACACCAATACTGATAACTTTCAGGAGGAGGTTCAGTAGGGTAAGGAATGCCTTGAGGTCCCATACTTGGTCAGTGTCAGATCAAGTATTTGATCCCTAGTCTTACCAGCCATTCAGGCCATATCCTTTTATAATGACTAAAATGACTAGCATTGTCTTGGACTTAGTTCTCTGCAGGCACTAGGTATTGGTTGTTGTTATGGGTTTCTGGTCCACTGCCAGTTTTAAAGGTGAACCCAGTCTGTGTTGAATAAGGATGACTCCCTTTCCTCAAAATGCACAAGCCAGCTGAGAACCTGACCATGGAAACATGGCTAACCAAGTGTGGCAGCCTAGGACACAGGCTCAAGACATGGTCCCGAAAGGCAGCTCCATAAGACTTCAGAGAAGGCAGGCTGATGTGAGAGAATGAGGCAACTGGTTAAATCTCACTGCAAAGGAAGGGGAGGAAGGGTTTCCAGGCAAAATAAACACTATGCACAAATCTTGGAAGGTATTACTGTAAGAATCTTCTGAGAAAAATCAGATGCTCATTTAACTGGAACATTTATGGTAGAGAATAATAGGAGAAGAAATTGGAGAAAAACAGGCTGTGTTTAAATATTTTAAATTGCTTTTCCTAAAAATAAACAAACAAACAAGCAAAACCTTTCCCTTTAAAAACAACTTTTCCCCTTAAACATTTATGCAAATAGCTGATATTCTCAGGAGCACTACCTAAGAATTACCACTAGAGGGCATGATTACGCTGAGAGACTATTTTTACTTATCATAAAAATATCTATTTATTTACCTGATTCCAACAGAAATGATCAGTTTCCCTCAACTTGAAAGAGAGGTAGATTCCTGTCTCAAGGTTTGTTATATTTTGTCATTTGGGGCTGCCTTGTCAATCCAGAGCACAGGTTGAAAAAACAAACAAAATAAAACAATAAAAAAGAAGCTTTCTTCTAATGCCTTTATTCAGCAATGATTCCTCTGAATCATTATGATTTTCCATCAAGCCTTTAGAAAAATACGGCATCCTCCAAAATATGAGCTGGGTTACTGGCTAGAATAAATATGAAGAAGCTAAAGATTATCAGCTTTTTTTTCTCTTCACACACATCAAACTCCAAATGCTCACTGGTTTTGAGAAGCAAAAGGCCTGGTTTGATCTCATTACACATACTTTACTTTGGGTATTAAGGATGAAGAGCTTGTCTTCTGGCTCCAGTAGTTTGCAGGCATAAGCTATGTTGACGGCTGTCTCCTGCTTGTCTCCCGTCAGCATCCAGATCTTGATGCCGGCTTTGTGAAGGGCTTCTATAGATTCAGGAACTCCCTCCTGCAGACGGTCTTCAATGCCAGTAGCACCTAAAAAATTAACCAAAGTACATCAAGGCCTGTAGGAAACTAAAAGACAGCTCAAGCTTACCTAGTCTATAATTGAATCCTATCCATTAGCCAACTCCATCCTGACTTGTACAAACCCCTCCAGTAGCTTCCAGAGATCCAAATGAGGTGTGAAGACCCAGACAAAAGTCATATACAAAGTAATATCTGGGCAGGAAGCTTCAGGGATGAGTGAGTTTATCAAACTTACTTGTTCTTCTTTTGACTAGGTATATAAGAATCTTATAGATATTTGTAAATTTAAAGGTTTAATTATTTATGTAACCTTGCTCTATAAATTTTATAATTCTATGATACTCCCTAAGATAAGGGCAGGCTTTTAAAGAATGCTTTTGCCAATAATATGCAATGTCTATTTGCAATGCTCTTTTAAGTCTATAATTCCATTTTCTGAGACAACTAGCTCCAGGAGTGTTTTGGAATTCAAAAGGTTTTCAGATTCTAAAAAAGTAATATAGGACATACACCCTTATTTTGTAATACCTGTCAAGCAAACACATTAGTATTTTGATAGAAAAGCTTGCAAATTTTCATGCTAATTAGGATAATACTACAAATAGTGTTATATCAAATCATGCCTGATTTTGCTGCAAAATGAGTTTTGGCATTAAATTTAGCATTTTTGATTTTAGTACTGCAAATGAGGAAATGTGAACCTAAGCTACTTACACCATCATAGAGAAATTTTATAGGAGTGACTGCTATCCCACTTGATAGACACTAAGTGAAATCATTGTTTTTCTCCTAAATAGAGGAAGGGAGCTCAGAAGTTTGCTTATGTTAGAATCTAGATCTCCATGCTCTAAGGTAGTGGTTCTCAAACTTGACTGCCACTTAGAATTACTTAGGAAGCTTTGAACAATTGCCATGTCCAGGCCACATACCAGACCAACTGAACAGAGCCCCTGGGGAGAGGGTACAGGAATCAGTACTGTTTAAAGCTCCAAGATGCAGCTCAACCTGACACAAAAGGTGCCTGTTGTGCAATTGTGGAAAGGAATCAAGAAGACAGAGAGAGAGAAATAGGTTCAATTAGATCAATTACAGATGCAGAATGAAGAACATGTACCCTGGAGCCGGGTACACCTCAGTTTCATGTCTGGTTAGTTAGTGACTAACTGTAAGTTACTAGCAGGTAATCTTGAACAAGTTATCAAATTGCTCTGTGTCCCATTTCCTCTAAATAGGATGAAGATTTGTTGTGAGAATTTAAAAAGACAACACATGTTAAGAACCTTAGCCCATCCCTGGCAAGAAAATTTTGCTTCTCTTGAACTAGCATATTTGTTTGGCTTTGTACCCTGTGTTAGGATTTTAAATGGTTTTCTTAAGAATGGCTACCTCAATACCACCACAAAGGAAGTCTAGTTCACTGCAGTGGAAAATAGAGCAGAGGATTGGAAGCTGGATAAAGACAGGACTTGATAGGAAAGGCAAACCACATGTGTTTATTAGGTTGGAGTAGGGAGAAAGGCAATGGTGAATATAGTATTTAGAGACAACCAATGTTTTTCAATCTACCTACCAAGTAATGTTAGCTGATTCTCCAGCCTTATAGCAGATTCAACTAGTAATTCTTCTCTGTTGTCAATGCTGGTTTCTGCTAAAAAATGATTCCTCAGCCACTCTGCATATTCATTGTCACTCATGACCTATGATAAAAAGAAAAAAGAGTTAGGAGGTAAACCATATGATCTTATAGAATCTTATCAGCACTCACCTTTGGCAAAAAAAAAAAAAAGCCATCAACTTGCTTTAGTTATTCCTCCCTCTGGGTACAGTCATACCAGGTACACATCCTCTCAACACCTGGACATAAGCTTCCTAAACTCTGTTATCAGACTAATGATAACGAATCAGTTGGGGGCGTGTTGTCAGGATTGGTATTAGGTATTTTGTAGTAACCAGCCTCTTTGATGTCTTTTCATGGTTAGCTTAGTGGCTAATCATTTGTAAAGGTTAAAAGAGAAGGTTCATGTGGATAAAGCAACGAAGTCTTATTCCTAACAAAAATTAGGCAGAATTCTTGGAGAAGAAACCATTGATAAATTATCTTTTGTCTTTAGTTGCCATAAAGGATAAATCTCCATTTCAGTTCTTACAAAGCAGCGTAGAGTGGAGGGTATGAGGTAATTTCTCTCTAATCTACTCATTTTTGCCCACAAGGTAATTTGATTCAGGAGAATCTGACATCTATTTGGCTACATTTTTATCAGGACTAGCCGACTGAAAAGGCACAGAGTAGGTTTGACGTAACTCTCCATTCATCCTACAACTATGTGTAAGGTAGACTTTTGATCCTCCATGCAGTTTGTTGGTTGAATTTATTGAGGTCTATAACAGATCTCATTTTCCCTAACACAACTCACAAAAACTAGAATTTGGGTAAGCAATGAGAGGTTTTGGTAATTACCTTCCTCAAATTATTTCTTGGAGTTCTGGCTTCTTTCTTATTGCTCAAATTTTTATTTAGAAAGGATAAAATATGTTTCAAAGTTATTTCCTTTGCAATACTGGGATTTGAACTCAGGGCCTTTGTTTGCTAGGCAGGTGTTCTACCACTTCCACCACAATACCAACCCTCAAGATTATTTTCAGTACAAAATAATCAATACTGATTTAAAATCTAGTAAATTTACCTGGATTTTTTTTTTTTTTTTTGAGACAGGGTATCACTGTGTACCCAGGCTGACTTAGAACTTGCTCTTTGGCTCAGGCTGGACTCCTGCCCCAGCTTCCCGGTGCTGGGATTATTTATAGTTGTGCATCACCACCCCTGGTTACTTGAATTTAAAGATTTAAAGATAAAGACTTGCAGGCACATAAAAAACAAACAAACAAACAAACAAACAAACAAAAAACAGTACCAAGAACCTGAAAGGTAAAAATGAAGGCTGGTCTCTGACATTATTCTTTCCAAGGCACATTTAATACTGTAAGACGAAGGGGACAATACTGAGTAAGTCCTGATGAAAAGAAACCAGGATTCTGGGATTTTTGTTTCTAGGTGAACACTGTTTACAAACAAAGGCACTTCAAATACACTGAAACACGTGAGAGCTCTGAGGATGTAACTTTTATGCACCCTGCTGCCTCGGGCTCTTCCAGCAAAACACTTAAGAACAAAATCCAACCAACTAGCATATGGCATGGAGAGACTGTGGAAAGAGATTCAGCGATCTAAGGACTTCCCCAATACCTGGGTTAGGGTTTCATATAAGCTGGTTTTCAGAGATGATGGCTAAGCAAGGGGAAAGACATAGAAGATGGGGTACACTAGGCAGCCTCACCTTCTTTGCTATACATAAAGTGCGCAGTCCTCGCTTGGCATAGTCATCTAAGAGTTTCTGGGTTTTCTCTCTTATTATCATCTGTTGTTTTTCCAGATTTGTTCCATCTGAAATAATGAACAAAACACTAGTATTCCTACCAGTCTGCCCAATTGCAGACACATTTTTAAACAATAACCGTTTAATCCACAATGAGCAAAAGGCATTCGAGTTTTGGATCTCAAATATGCATCTATAAAAAGAACACCTCAGAATAAAATTTTCCCTGGATTCTTTCTCTTTTGGCAGGGGAATCATCTGGGACTTGATAAAAACACTGCTCCCACACCATCCATAACAGCAACGACAACTGTAATAATGCTAGTTGTCATCTCTTGAGCACTTACCCCTTGCTAGGCACTCAACCAAAGGCTTCTCATACATTGCATACAGTGTGACGTGAGTCTTCTTAGGAGCCCATGAAGAGGGATTATAACACTGATTTAGCTGAAGACTCAGCAACAGAGTTTCTGAAGGCCCAGCAAATGATGGAGTCCACATTTGATCCCAGGTTTGTGCAGCAACTAAACTTGTTTGCCTTCTTATCAAATCCTAGGTGGCTGACTCCCAAATATCTACTTCTTAGCCTTTATAAATGCACTAGGAGTGGGCCTGGGACTCTCCAATCCCTTCTTGTCACTACTATCTTAGCTCTGTTTGAACTTACCTGGGGAGGCCACTGAGAGCAACTCCATGATGACAGAATCGGCACCCTTTGTATACACTACAACTTGATTGGAAAGGGGGTGTCGGACCACAACAGACATTCTTTTTCTTATTGAGTCGAAGGGAAGGATGTGTAGTAGTTGAAATGTTAATGTTCCCAAAGCAGCAAAGTCCACCAAAACCTGCTCTGGGGTCCGTGACCGTAAAGTGCATTGGTAAGCCTTGGCGGCATACACTAAGGCTGCTTCGTCTGGACTCTCGGCCTCATAACACAGGTCAGTGGGCAAGGGCTGTCCAGGGAGGGATTCCATCTGGCCATTCATGACTCCTGTATCACCATTTTGCTTCTCAGTTTCTGTATAGCATGCTGAGTGACTGGAGCCCTGGGGAGTCTCACTCATCTGGGAGGCCTCTTCCTCCATAGGTGAAGCCAGTTTCATTCTATTGAAGAGAGACAGTCTGCTTGCAAAGGCACATGGAACTCCAGAAGGTGGCTCTTTCCTACTGGCAAGGGATGGTGAACTTGATCTTCGGACAGACAATCTCTGGAAGAGATTTTTAATCTCTTCCAAGGACTTAATGGGAATTCCGCTCAATGAAGACAGCCTGATCTAGAGGAAAAAAAAATTTACAAAGGTCTCAAGAAATACAATCAAGGTAGCTTATCACAACTTTGAAGTCCAACTAGGAAAAACTGAAACAGGAAAGAGTTATCACTTCCTTAAATGGCTACCAGCCTGCTTCTTCCTTACAATTGCCACAGAAAACATGATTTAAAAACAAACTGAAAGAGGGTGAGCTGAGGGCAATGACATTGTAAATTTCTACAATCACTTAAGAAGTTTGACAGCTGATAGCAGAATATATAAAATGCTAATATTTAGCATACTTACAGCAATCTTTCCTAAAAAATGAACTTGAAATATAGAAAATCCATAATCTGTATTGTGTGTAACCTAGTAAGAGCAACTTAAGAATTATAAACAAATTAAGAATTCAATAACAAAATAGAAACATCTTTTTGAAATGGAATATTACGTTTATAAAGACCAGGGGGTAATATTGGAAAAGTTATGAAACAGTGTACAAATAACTAGCAGTACATATACTAAAAAGTATGAGAAGAGAGTATATGAAAACGTTAAAATATATCAAAAGGTTAACAGCATCATAATATGAATTTGAATTTGTATTTCTATAATACCCCTCTTAAAAGAAACCTTGGTTTCTTTTAGGTCTTTTTTTTTTTAAATCAGTGATTAAACTGAGAATTTAATACTAATCATGGAATATCAATTAGTTAGATTCTAAAATGCTCTCATTCAGAAATATCTGGGGAATTAAAAAGCTTCTCCTACAAGTTACTAACTTTATGATAGTCTGAGAGTCTTATTCTGGTCAATTTTCAAAGTTATCCACAAATCAGAAATGAAAAGAATAAAACCTATTAATCATACATGAGGTTTCTACATGTCATATGAATTCTGATTAGCTCCTGTTCACTGCCTTTCTGGTGAGTGTTAAGGTTAGGGAGATTTTCTTTTAGGCAGTAAAATATTATATCCTTTGGTAATAAGGTAACAATATTTTATAACAAGAAAATACCAAAAAATGTCATCTGTCTATCTATCTATCTATCTATCTATCTATCTATCTATCTATCTATGAAAACATTATGTAGGAAAAATAAAAAAATTCAGTGATTTATTCTCTAACTACATAATCACTTTCCAAAGAGTAACTTCCTAGGCAAAACCTTGTAGAAATATAGTTTCTGATCAAATGCAACTTAATTGGAAATAAATTACTTTTATGTTAAAGTTGACCACCTCTGAAGTTGCCAAAAGAAAATGATGTGATGGAAAATTAAATTTTAATTGGGTTGTGCTGCAAATTGAATTTTAAGTGGTTATGTGGAAAAGCGGAGATAGTTATACACCAGGAAGCTAGCACGGCCAAGTGGTAAATCATCAACCTCGAAAACAAGTTTTTCATTTTAATTAGAAATGAATTTTCCATGAATTCTAAGCTACAACCAGGCTTTAAAAACCTAGCTTTTGTAGGAACTGCAGAATCTTTATATATTATACACATACTGGATTTTAGACAGATTGAGATAAAACTAACCCAACTGGTACATGAAAAAGGTGCATTATTGTCAACCATGATAATGAATCTGATACTTTGTATTTTATCTGATGAAGCGCATATGATCTTGGGGGTCTCAAAAGTTAAAAAGAAAGCTTCAATTTGGTAAGGAAATGAAAGAAAATTGAACATTCTCATCAGAAACCCTCTTATAGGCAAATACATAGTAAACATTGGTCCATATATCTTGGGTTCAAGTCCCACCTTCCCCTGGACAAATTCCTTAGTGTCATCTGTAAAATGGGGAATAGCAGAGTCAGGGGACCTAGCTATAGGGAGGATTAAAAATGTTAATACCAGTAAATCACTTAGACCATGGTAAGTAAAGGACCAAGAATAAGTTCTGAATAAATATCATATAACTGCCATTATCGGCTGCTGTTATTACTAATGATTACTATCATGCAACAAAACCAGTACAGATACATGTGAAACCCCACTTCCCCTTTGTGAAGAGGACCTTTGTTTGTTTTAGAGACTTTACCTTTTGTCGTGGCTGGTTAGGAGCAGAAACCACTACTGTGTTGCAAATTGCTAGTGCAATAAGGAAGTCCATGATGTACAGAGTCTCCAGAGGTGGACTCTGGATGGTGCCATCTAGTGGCGTGAAAAGCCGAGGGGCAATCTGATTAAATTTGTCCAAAAGCCTGGTGTCTGGTATCACATCGGTTTCCTGAAGATCCAATAAGACGGAGTATTGTTATCAACATCAAAAGTAATTTTCACACTAAGATCAAATGAAGCATAAACAGTAAACTTAATTTTTTTTGAAGGGATTGAGCTTTATTTTTTTCCAAACGCCTAACCAATTGTCCCAACACCATTTATTTATTTATTTTTCTTATGGGCTTGGTACTTCCTTTATTGTTTTTTTAATTAATTATTTTTAATTGCTTATACATTTATTTATATGTGTATACATTGATTGGACCATCTCTCATCCCCCACCCCACCCCAGCTTCCAGGCAGAACCTGTTCTGCCTCTTCTCCAATTTTGTTGAAGAGAAAGCATAGGAGATAACAAGAAAGACATAGCGTTTTTGCTAGTTTGAGATAAGGATAGCTATACAGATTCATTCCTAGTATTGTTTCTATGCACTTGTGTATTAAAACCCACTTTGGTTCATGTCTACCAGACCTCTTCACTACTTCCTGGTCCCCTTTCCACAGTGGCCTCTGCCAGTATAAGATTACTTTATTTGCTCAAAGTCCAGTCCCCTTGTTGTGTTTACCCTTGATCTAATGTCCACATATGAGGGAGAGCATACGATTTTGGTCTTTTGGGCCAGGCTAACCTCACTCAGAATGATGTTCTCCAATTCCATCCATTTACCAGCGAATGATAACATTTCGTTCTTCTTCATGGCTGCATAAAATTCCATTGTGTATAGATACCACATTTTCTTAATCCATTATCAGTGGTGGGGCATCTTGGCTGTTTCCATAACTTGGCTATTGTGAATAGTGCCGCAATAAACATGGGTGTGCAGGTGCCTCTGGAGTAACCTGTGTCACAGTCTTTTGGGTGTATCCCCAAGAGTGGTATTGCTGGATCAAATGGTAGATCAATGTCTAGCTTTTTAAGTAGCCTCCACATTTTTTCCAGAGTGGTTGTACTAGTTTACATTCCCACCAGCAGTGTAAGAGGGTTCCTTTTTCCCCGCATCCTCGCCAACACCTGTTGTTGGTGGTGTTGCTAATGAGGGCTATTCTAACAGGGGTGAGGTGGAATCTTAGTGTGGTTTTAATTTGCATTTCCTTTATTGCTAGAGATGGTGAGCATTTTTTTATGTGTTTTCTGGCCATTTGAATTTCTTCTTTTGAGAAAGTTCTGTTTAGTTCACATGCCCATTTCTTTATTGGTTCATTAGTTTTGGGAGAATTTAGTTTTTTAAGTTCCCTGTATATTCTGGTTATCAGTCCTTTGTCTGATGTATAGCTGGCAAATATTTTCTCCCACTCTGTGGTTGTTCTCTTCAGTTTAGAGACCATTTCTTTTGATGAACAGAAGCTTTTTAGTTTTATGAGGTCCCATTTAGCTATGCTATCTTAGTTGCTGTGCTGCTGGGGTTTCGTTGAGAAAGTTCTTTCCTATACCTACTAACTCCAGAGTATTTCTTACTCTTTTGAAGCGAGAGCACACAAGGGAGGGGTGAGGATAGGTAAGACACCTAAAAAATTAGCTAGCATTTGTTGCCCTTAACGCAGAGAAACTAAAGCAGATACCTTAAAAGCAACTGAGGCCAATAGGAAAAGGGGACTAGGAACTAGAGAAAAGGTTAGATGAAAAAGAATTAACCTAGAAGGTAACACACACGCACAGGAAATTAATGTGAGTCAACTCCCTGTACAACTATCCTTATCTCAACCAGCAAAGCACTTGTTCCTTCTTATTATTGCTTATACTCTCTCTACAACAAAATTAGAAATAAGGGCAAAATAGTTTCTGCTGGGTATTGAGGGGATGGGGGGAGAGGGAGGGGGTGGGGTGGGTGGTAAGGGAGGGGGTGGGGGCAGGGGGGAGAAATGACCCAAGCGTTGTATGCACATACGAATAATACAACAATAAAAAAAAAGAGTACTTTATTTGCTTCTCTACAGTGGGCACATCAAACACTTTCAAAGTTTAATGTGTTTGGTATCATGCGAAGTAACAATAGGAAAACAGGCACATAAATATAAACGGACATAATTAACGGATACTACTTTGATGATTAACTTAAACTAAATAGGAAGTAGAAACATTGTCTTCCACAAAATCTAGTTGAAAGTATGTTTCTCATTTTGAAATACACAGTGTCAGACATGTATTTTATTGTGCATAGAATCCTAATGTGGCTATAGACTTACCCAACAATTGGTGAGGACCAATTCTTTTTTAAAGATGAGGTCACTATTCATATCAGATTATTTTAAGAAAATATTTTATTGCTTAATTTACTATTATTATAAAAACTTACTCATTAAAATAAAAATTATTACAAACAGGCTAACATTTAATCAACGTATCCCAGTAACATTCTATAAGACATCAGCAAGAGATTTCTGATCACTAAATATGTTTGGTAACTATGCCCTTAAAGATTCTTAGTAAAGATTTGCTCTAAGATTTGTTTCCATTATTAGGGAAACAAAATGCCCCATTTTGTTTAACACAGTGCTTCTCAGACTTACTTCAGAGTTCTAGTTTTCACAAAAGAATGCTGTAGTATAAATCTGATTATAATCCAGTAACACACAGTCAACTGCTTGAGAAATGTTTGAGCTGAGTCAAAACAGGGACTACCTGCTCAGAATCAAGGTTTTACAAAAGCACCACTGTATTGCAGAGGAGTCCTGGACACAAAGCACACTAACTGCAGGAAGTCAGAAAAGGCAATTTCAAGAAAAGTAAAATACAGCAATATGAGATACTGCATTCAGATACCATGGCTTGCATTTATGCTTTGGAGTTTGCTTGAGGGTTAGTATAGGTTTAATAAGAAATGAGCATGTAATGGTGATCAGAAAGCTTGAGTTCAGGTTTTTGCTCCATTGTATACTGACTCATGGTCTCAGGCAGTTTACCTAACCCTTTGGGCTTCATTTTCCTATTCCACATAGTGGTAAAAATAACATTTACCTCCCAGGGTGGCTGTGCAAGGAAAATGAGATGATGACTAAGATAAGACCAGTACAGTAAGGACCTGAGTAATTTAATGTTCCTTTTGCTTCTTTCACAAATGACATGCACTCATCTTAAGGCAGGATATCGCAATGAGGGTTAAGGGTGTAAAAAGTGCACATTTCCATGGTCACAAAGCATTCGTAAGTTTCTATCTAAATAAAGCAAGTACATGATGCCATGGCTGCAAGCCTATGCCATAACCATGACAACAGAAGTAATATTAAAGTTGCCAAAAGCCCCTTCCTCCGTGTGTGTGTGTATGTGTGTGTGTGTGTGTGTGTGTGTGTGTGACTCTGGTCAGCAAAACTATGCATATAAGAATAATCAAAATAAAGTAGGAAAAGAAGAACTCAGAAGATTTAAGGAAAGGTCCACATCAAAACAAACCACAGCTATGGAACACTCCTCCATTTTAGTTGGATTTAGCCAACTAACTGAATCCCTAGGACTAAGACAGTTGCTGAACTGAGGAGAAGGTGTAGAGTTGTCACATGCAACTTTTGATCTATATGACTATAATCCATGGATGCTTTCCTTAAGATCCAAATCTTCACTGATGCCCTGTTTACAGCATTAACATTTGCTCTTTTTCTGTGATGGACAGCTTTCTGCTGTGTCTCTGAATACGTATTAAGATGAAAACCAGGCCCAAGTTATTTTGCTTTAACTGACTCTACACCTATGTACTTCTCTACTCAGAGAGTTTCGAAGTTCTTTTAAAGTAAGGATCATATTTTACCAATTTTTGAATCCCTAACTCAATATCTGACATATGGATAAGCAATCCAAGTTTATTATTATTTACTAGTACTGAACTTTTGCTGGTCCTACATTCCCTAAGGGAAGGGATGGAGAAAAAAAAAACAGGCTAAAAGATGTTACTCTTTGGAAAATAAACACATATTAGCTCCCACAAGGTCTCAACTATGTATCTTATTAAAATTCAGAGAACATTTATAATCAGCATTAGAGCACAGAATACACAGTGCATTGTGGACAGCTTCCAGGAAGGCAGATGAAGCCTTATCTGGTTTTACAGTGGAAGTTGCACATCTTTGCCTTAATCTTGTGTGATGGCATCTGACCATTTAGAATTTTAGATTCATCCTCATGATTTATATTATGCCTTCCTACTATGTTGTAGATTTCATACTTGGGTTTCTTCTTTTCTTTTCTTCTTGATTTCAATCCAAATTAAATAAGCAAAAAACTGGTCAGGATTCCCTTTGTGCTCCTACAATGCTTGCTGAAGCTTTTCGATGGCTTTAATGTAGATATTAAATTTGTTTTAAAACTCAGAGTGATAGGAATGCACTTTAACTGTTTATGTAAACCCCCCAAATACCCATGATTTAATAATGGACAAAGATACCTAAAGGTGGGGCAAGGTTGACCAAGCAGCATTAAGACGGTCCTCTAGTTTAACCTGTACCCAAGGTTTTTATGTCATTTCCTATTGCCACCCCACACCAGTTTTAGGGACATGTTGACCTACTTCAGCAACTTTGGCCTAAGTGTGGACCCAAATGCCCTTTTGATTCATAAACACTATACACCTGAAGGAAAAAGATAAAGACCAAGACACTGACTTCACGGGACAGCTCTCCCATGATCCACCAACTATGAGTGCTCACATTTGCCCTGTGCTCTCTGGTCCATATGCTGTCTCTTACTTTCTGCTCTGTGAACCTCTACACGTGACTTTAATCCCAACTCACATTTTCTCTTTGTTGTCCCTAATTGTCAATCACTCCCTTCTCTGTACCCTTACTACCCTTTGCATGAATTATTACCATATCTTTCAAAAAGGACTATGATTCTTTTTTTTTTTGTATGTCTACCTGTTATACCTAGCACAAATTTGAATACTGGAAGTGATGTCTTACTAATTTTATATCCTAGTGCCCAGTATTATGCTATGTCTTCCACTAATTGATTAAGGAAGTCACTCATCCCATAAATAAATTGTGTATTTGTTGATAAATGTGCCAAGCACATCTCAAGGAAAGAGGGTCACATAGGACAGATAGGATTCTGGTATGTATGGAACTCAGATTCTACATGGGGAAAATAAGGGAGATAGGAGATCCAAAACTATTCCACAAATAAATAAATGAGATGCTTCTAGATTAAGACAGAGAGAGAGTAGGAGGAACAGATGGAATGTATTTGGGATTAGGTGGTAGGGAAGCCTCACTGAAGAAGTAACATCTGAGTCAAGACCTCAGTGACAAGAAGGAGACAGTCATCCAAATGCCTAGGAGAAGAACATCCCAGGCAGAACAAAGATCACACTTATTCAATGAGAAGTGCTAGAAGATGGAAAAAGCATAAACACATTGGCTTATAAAGTAAGGTTTCTAATTCTAGATAGGTAATATGAAACCCAGAGCACTTGTTTGTTCTAATAACAGGGTAAGGTTTGATCTAGAAATGTGAGGAGGTTAAGGCACAGACTCACTTGGCTACTAGTACTATGCTACACCCAAGTAAATGTGAGTCACTTTGTGCTTAGTTTTGGATGAGTAAAAAATGTAAAAATTCAGTAGAGAGATAAATGAAAAATAAAAGATAAAAAATTTCTGACATAGTCTTGAATGAACAGAAATAGCTGTGTGTATTCCTTCCATATTTCTTTGTGAAATTTGGAGAAAAATTAGGTCTAGATGTTTGAAACAGCTTGCCATATGGCAAAGATAGATTGTATCACGTATTGTATCCTCAGTGCCACAGAAATGAACTGGACAGTTGCTGCAACTGCAGGCTCAACTAACTGCATTTGTTGGCAAGTTTGCAAAGAGCCAAGAGTTCTACCTCAAGGTCTTCTTTAAGACTCCTTCAATGTAGCAACACAAGGCTTCCCCAAAGTTGATTTATTCTTGTAATGTCAACTAATTTGGAGTTGTTGTTTCCTGCCTGGGCAATCTCCATCTTGGTAAAACACAAATGTTAATGAAGTGTGAAAATTTTATAGAAGTAATTTTAAGTACAGTAAAACTTTTTATTTCTAATTCATTTGCACAAGCATCTTTACTGTTTTAAATGTAGTAAAATGGGTTTGTTAATGGGAATAACTAGTGTCAGTTCCTAAAACTTCCTACTGGGCCTCAAATACACATCCTGTTGTGCTCTAAAAATGGGTATGAAATGAGAAAGGGGACCTGCCTCGGTGAAATATGGAGGAAGATTACAGAGTTATAAATAGTTCTTTAAGGACACCAAAAAGCCTGCAAATTTACCTATCAATTACCTATATTTACCTCTCTCTGAGATAACTCCAATAACTTTGTTGGTTCTGAAAGTGAGCCATGATCCTTAAATCAAGGCAAGCCTTTTCAGGTTCAGACATGATAGCCCTGATAAGAATTATATTTTTTATAAATGGCACCTGACTTTTCAGCATTGGGTTTTCAAAAATTAGAAAATTGTGGTATTGTTTGTTTATACTTATTGTGTGTCACAAACATGCTGAACTGTAATTATGCGATCTCTTCTCTGACAGAAGACAGTATTATTTGACTCTATTGCAACTGAATGTGTTCTTTCATTACACATGGTGGATGTGCAAGATTCTGGACATGCATTCATACTTACGATGGGGCTACTGAAAGCAGCCTGTCTAGAATGAGGCACTTCACTGGCTCCTTCTCCACTTCCTATTGCAAAAGTGCTTCCAGAAAGCTGATTTGAGGGCTTGCTCCCCAAAGGTCCATTGTGAACTGTCCTGCAGCTGTGGGCTCTTGGTTTCGCCATATTGCTGAGGGATCCACTCAGAGTATCTGCACAATCCTCATCTTCAGAGACAGTTTCCTGATAGGACTCTAGCCTTTTGGCTGAAGGATAAAAGTCACACTTAGTCACCATCTGAGAGGAACAACTTACAAGTTGAATATGTCTGGCAGTTACTTAAATAGCCATTTCACACCATCTTCTTTTTCCTCTTTCAAATCTGGCCTCCAAATCCCCATTTGTATTCTTAGTTAATGCATTTACCCCATGTCTTGAGAAACTAGGTACAATCAGATGGAACACCCTTCTTTATCCAGCATCAAATCTAACACCTTATCTGCGTCTCCATACTCTTTGCTTTCTGTCCTACTACTATGGAGAAAACATTTCTCCTTATTTCAAATGCCAATCCCCCTATTTGTGATCTGAGTTCTGCCCTCTGGATTCCTCAATGACTTCATCTTTGAATTCTTCCTCTTCCACTTATACCAATCTCTTCTCAACCAATTTTAGGACTTTCTGCCCACATCTCTCCACTGATACTAGTCTTGTCAAGGTCACCAATAAACTCCATGTTACCAAGTTCAATGACCATATATATCTGTCCTTATCTCATTTGAACATTTAGTAATATTGAACAGTTGACCATTCTTTCTTTCTTTAAATGTTCCTTTTGGCTTCTCTGACACCAAACTTCTCTGTCTTCCCTCCTACCTCAATGGTTGTTCCTGCTTAGTTTCTCCACCTATCCTTCTTCTTGTTCTCTGTTACCGGAGAGTATCAAGAGCCACTTCCCTTCCCCACTTACATATTCTTCTTTGGTGATCTCATCTGGTGCCTTCTTTGAAACAGTATGTTTGTACATATAACCTTAAAACCTGTGTCTTCAACTCTGACCTCTCACTGGAATCTGGGCTCATGTATTCAACTCTCTACTTGACACCGCCACTTAGATGACTACAAGGCTCTTCCAACACATACCTGCATGGCTCACTCCCTTCCCTTTTTTAGGTTTCGTGTCAAGCACCCTTGTCTGTAAAGACTTCCCAGGTTAGATCACATTATTTATTATAGATGCTACTCCAGAACTTATCATTATCTAAACTCTTTATTTTTGAATCATCCAGTAGAATATAAACTTCAATAAAGGCAGATACTTTTTTTGTTTTTAAATATAATTCTCTTACAGTCCAAAGTAGTGACTGCTAGGTACTCAATAAATACTTGTTGAATAAATAAACAATAGTAATCTTAAATTTAACATGGTTAGAACAGCATTCTTTCCTTCTTTCTCCTCAACCTTTTCTCTGGTCGTTCCCATCTTTATGAATGGCACTAAACAATCTATCTAGTTACTCAAGACAAAAATCTAGAATTCTACTTGATTCCTCTCTTCTTCCGCACATACAGAATACCACCAACACCTTCCACTATACATATCCAAAATATATCCTGACTATCTAGGCTTTTTTTTTCCATTTCCATTACCTTAATCCAAGTCATCATTTTCTCTCCACTGGGCTAGTGAAATAGCATCATAGCTTTGTCTGTTTGCCCTTTGCAATGTATTCCTCAAATAGTAGCTAGAGGTATCTGCCTAAAAGATATTGTTGATCAGATCACTTCTTGCATAAAACCCTCCAGTTGCTTCACAATTCCCTTAGAAAATCTGGCATCAAAATAATCTGACCTCTCTACTTTCTTGCCCTTTTTTCTCCTATATTCCCACTGGAATTTAACTCACTGGCCTTCTTTCTTTACTTTGAAAATTTACAAGCTAAAGGTCACATGTTTTCTCTCATATGTTGGAGATAGACACAATACAAATATAAGCAATATTATGAAAAAACAGGTTATGCTAAGGGGAGGTCACTAACAGGAGAGGGAGGGTAAAAGAAGGAAGTTAAGAAGGTGAGTATGCTTGATGCATTTTCTATACAAGAATGAATACAGAATTTTTAAAACTGCTGAAATCACCATTAGAAGGGGCCTAAGAAAGGAGAAAAATAGAGGGCATGAACCTGTTTGAGTTATAATACATATATACATGGAAATGTCACAAGGAAACTTTCTATAGAGCTATCTTAAACAAACAAAAATATCTTTTTCCAAAAAATGGAGAAAAGGAAGGTAAAATAGGTCCTATTTAGGGGCTGGTACCAGTGGGAGGGGGGAGGATATAAGGAAAGGGTGAAGGAAGTTAAATGTAGCGGAAATATTATGTATTCATGTATGAAAATGGAAAAATGAGACATGTTGAAACTATTCCAGGAAAGAGGGAAGGGGGAGATAAAGTAGAATGATGAAGGGGTGAATTCAACTATGATATATTATAAGAACTTTTGCAAAAATAACAGTGCAACCCCAGTAAAACAATAATGTAGTAAAAAAGAAAAAGAAAAGTAAATTTACAAGCTCACTACAACCTCGGGGTCTCTAAAACAGTTGCTTGAGCTGTGTCCTTGAATTTCAAGATTATGTCATTCAGCTCATCTCAAGTGTTCCACTTACAGAGGTCTTTGCATGGCCACCTAACACAAAGTAACCATCCAATCCCTCTATATGATACCATCCTACTTTAATTCTTTGTAAAGTCCTGATCACTACTTAATCTTTTCCTTGATTTAAAAATGGATGTTTGTGATGATTTTCTTCAATAGGAGCTTGAAGAGTATATTTGTGTGAGTAAGAACCTTGTCTGTCTTGCTTATTTTAATAACCAGTATCTGGAATACAGAGTTGACAATAACTGTGCTTACTGGGTTGCTGATAATCTATTCAAAGCCTAGTTACTGAATAAAGTATGGCTCTGGCCAAGTTATTTGATAAAACAAGTATGTTCTCACATTCTACTTCTTATACTAATTTTCCATATTTCTTAAGGGCAAGAAAAGGCTAAGAGGCAATATTAGGATCCTCAGTTCTAGTATCAACTCTTCCAAATACTAAGTGACTTTCAACAAAACACTCACTCTTTCTGGTCCTCTGTTTTCAAAATCAAACATTTTAGAAAGTACAATTTAGGTTCAGGGATCTAAGCTCCCTTCAAATTCCGTAATTCTCATCATATTTTCTGCCTAAATAATAAAGAATGTATCCTTATGTGATCTTTTAGCTTCAAAACAGATCCACCAATTGTGTCTTTCCAAAGGTTCTGACCTCCTCCATTCTTACTATGCCCTTATTTTGAATACCCATTCTTACCGACCCCCCAGTTCAGGGAATTAAACCTAAGATTTTGAATATAGCTCTACCACTCAGCTATATACTCAGTCCTTACTTTTGTCTTTTCTACTAACAAATTCTAAACATCTTCAAAGGCTTGATTCAAATGCAAGACCTTCAGTGAAGACCTTTGTAACTGTATCATTTCTCATTCACATCACTCATGGGACATGTATAGCCTTCATGGGCTGAATGCTGCCATACAGCAGACATTTGTTTCATTCAATCATTATGACATTACTCTGAGTACTTATTATTGATATCACCATTTTAGAAAGAAAGAAACAAACTTAAATAATTTGTCCTACCTCACAAAAGTGGTGCAGATTAGTCTTAAACCAGGTCAACAGGACTCCACAGCCAGTTCTCTGAGTCTTAATGCTATACTGTCCTGTACCATTTCTAAGTATAACCATGCATGTTAGCCTGGGCCAATTTTAACACATGGACAATCTCCCTTGATTTTTACATGGCTAATCTCCCCTGTCTGATTTCAATAAATCCATGTTTTGTAGCTTAAATAAATATTTATTTAATGAATAAATAGATATGTGAATGAAATATCTCTAGCATTAAGGGAAAGTTGTGGAGGAGGGACTTACACTTATTAAGATTTTTCTATCAGGAATCTGGCTAGGTCATATTTATTCATGCATTTGCATATATATGTATGTATATATGTATACATATCTTCAAAGTAATGTCATCAGGTAGGCATTATCACTGCTTCCCTCTTGTAGCTGAGAAAATTAAGACCCATAGAGATTAAGAACTTCAACATGGCTAAACACCAACTGGAAGTAGAGCTGGGATTTGAATTTAGGCCTTCCTGATTCTAAGGCCAGTATGTGTGTCCACTACACCATAGCTCCTTAGCTTTTACTTGTATATTTCAGGGTTGCTCAATGTTTCTTGATATGGAGTAGATTTTTCTGCGGGGGACTTTTGGAATGGCTGTACACACTTTGGTTGTTATAAATGGGGGAGGGATGCTACTGGCGTTCTTTGGGTAGAGGCCAAGGATATGTGTAAACACCTTGCAATACACAGGGCAGCCCCCAAAACAAAGAACAATCCAGTCCCAATAATAAGGGTGAGAACCATGAGTCCTTAAGCAACTTATTGATGATGTAATGCCATTGCAAACATAAACAGAATATTCAAAATCTACATAAATGAAGACAATAGCCATCGATAACACAACTTCTCTTAGCCATCACTAGGGAAATCAACCACCACACCATTGTGTATTGAGTACAATGCCAGGTGGCTCAGCTATTATTGTAGGACAACATTCCTCAACAAGTAGAACTGCAAGAGTAGAACCAAGAAGACAAAGACTGACTCAACCTTTAATCATTTTGTGGAAAGCTGTGAGAAATATATTAGCCGTGAAAGTTACAAAATGATTCAGAAAACAGAGCACTGCAGCTGTATTCCAGACTCAGTGAAAATTTTACAAAAGCCAAGGTTTATAATCACATTGATAATCAAAACATCCGAAGGCAATGAAGACTTTCAATACTTCTCTTAAGGCAGATTCTAATTAGTCCTATGAATGCCTGAAAGTGAGCCAGGATTTCTTTCTGACTCCCAAGAGGAAACAAAATGTATGTAATATTTTCTGTATCTAAAGGTATATCCTGGGTTAGGTATCAAATGATCTATTTTATTTCTTTTCCTAATTAATTTCTAATCTGTTTTCTTTTCCCATTCCCTCCTGAAATATCCCAAAACCTATTCATGGTCTATTGCTTGAATTGACTGGATGTCCAGAAGAAGTGGACCTGACACAGTTCCTTGAATGGCCCCAAAGAGGTCACAAACACCACACTGAAATGAGCTTCCTTCAACTGTATCATCTGTATATCCTCCATTGAACCTTCCCCTAAGAACTAACTTTCCAAACA